CAACACCCTCTGGGAGATAGTATATTGAATTATTTTCAGTTTTAATGTAACTTATTACGGCACTGAAACTAACATCAATCTGATCACCTCGGGCGACAACCCCACCCCTTTTATATGATGGTTGTCCCCCCCCCCCTTTATATGATGGTTGTAACGTCATCACTGGAGCAATTTGTCATCACTGTGGCCGGTAATATAGTAGGTATTACTGAACCTAAAGTACAATGTACAATGCTTAACTGATTTACAACGCTATTTTCTTAAAAACAATGTAAGCAATTTAATGACGTACTCTTACATACATACCAACAGATGCAGGGTTAAAGCATCTTGCCTCCACATCCATGCTAATTCTAATGAAAATTTTGAAAATGTATTTAAAAGTAAAATCTTGTGTAGTGAACAGAACAGAACAGAACAGAATATTTATTTTGACTTAAGCATATACAGCTTATCATCAATCATGAAAATATAATACATGTACATTCAATCGCATGCAAATGAAAATGGCAAAACAAGTTGTCAGTTGCATAGAAGGAAGATAATATACAATGTAATCAGTAAGCATACTGAATCTACTAAATCAAATTAGCAAATATATATAACACACATGACAACATTTGATATAATTAAACTTCAGATTAATGTGATTGTTTCTTACTTCAGAGCTTTTGAAATAAATATTGACAGTCTACACAATATTTTTGAGATTATTACAGTCTAACAGTTCAATAAACTTAAACATGTTTGGGCGATTTCTGAAATAGTACGGAATATATAATTTTCTCAAGTCCTTATACTTCTCACATATACAGACAAAATGAAATTCGTCTTCAATATCGTCTTTGGTACATATAACACAATTTCGTTCACTTCTTAACTGGTTTCTATGGCGACCCTGCTCTATGGCTAAACAGTGCGAAGAAAGTCTAAATTTAGCCAAGACATTTCTGAATTTGTTATTATTAAGTATTGTCAAGTATTCAGACATTCCAAAAGTTTGTTTAATTTCTTTATATAGAGTCAATGCCGTTGAAATGTTAACTGCCCTCTCTCCATTGTCCTATATAAATGTCTTTAAGCCTAAGCTTAAACTGTGTAATAAAGCACGCTATGTTAACAACAGATGCAGGAAAACACCAGACATCATTAAACCCCGTCTCTTGCAACATAGTCTTGACATTTGATAACCAAATTGTTTTGTAAATCATGTGACTCAAATAGAAAAATTATAAACAGAATATAAAATACAATTCTTATCATGTGAATCTAATAGTTTGAAAAAATATTTCATTATTTTCACTTTTCTGTTTAAAATTAACGGAAACCGTCCCGTTTCACCATAAAGTGCATAACTGTTCGTACTCATTTTACATCCAATGTCCATTTAGGATATTTTCTATGAAGTCGCTCTACGTATTTCTGCTTGGCTAAATCCCCACAGTTCAGCACAATATGACATTATAGATGTTACATAAGCATCAAAAAAGGTTAAAGTTTATATGTAGTGGTATTTGCATCCCTCGAGTGATGTTTTTTAGAGAAAACATTGATTTTAAGAGCTTTATCTGTTAAATGCATCTATGCCTTTTCGAAATGAACCGCCACTGCTCATTACAAAGCCTAGGTAATTTAAAGTTTTCAACAATGTCTATGGTCTGGCCGTTATATGTCCAAGTTTGATTTCTTGGTAATTGACCACCCTTTCGGAATACCATAATTTTAGTCTTTTTCAACGTTTTTACTGTAAGGGTTCCATCTTTTACAATACGCCTCTAATTGGTTAAGATTGGTTTGAAGAGCTTCGGGGGTTTCGCTAAGCAATACACTGTCGTCTGCGAAAAGGATTAAGTATATAGATAACTGGTCTAAAGTAATCCACAGTCTATATTTTTCCTGTAGACATACTTCAAAGGTCATTCACAGAAATGGCAGAATAATTATTGCGCAGTTAGCTCCCTTGGAATAGTCCATTATGCAATTTAAAAAAAAGTCTGATAGGGAATTTAGGTGTTTAACACAAGATCGTACGTCACTATACATGGACCGTAACAATTTAAGCAATTTTCCATCGAAAACCTTCCTTTATTAGTTTGTTACCAGAGCCCGTTTCTATATATAGTATCAAAGCACTTCTGATAGTTCAACAAAAAGCAGCAATACACCTTTTTATTTTGTGAAGTATACTTCTGTAATGATAGTAGATAAAAACGAAAACAGCGTCAGTAGTACTGTGACCCGACTTGAACCCAAACTGTGCAATCAGAGAGCTTGTCATGATTTTTGGTCCCAGACTTTCAATTCTCATCATAGTTATTATTCCTGTAAATATTTTACCCAGGCAACTTAGTAGCGTGATTCCCCTATAATTGTTTGCAATGTTAGATGGTTTGTTTTTTCAAAAATAGGTATTATCAATCCCTCTGACCATTGACTCGGGAATTCACCTGCGTCGGAGAATTTTGTTGAATATAAGTAACAACGGTTCGGAAAGGAATGTCGATACACTCTTTAAAATATTCATTTATCATATTGTCTAATCCAACGGCTTTTGTTTCTGTTTAAAGAGTTAACAACTTTACGTAATTCATTCTCCGTAATTGGCATGTCTAATTCCTCGAATGTAACTTCTTCCGTGTTATCACAATTATTTGTCAAATTCGCGTAGAAACTCTTGTACATCGTCGTTATCATCCACTTTTGCGTCCAGAGATTTAAAATGATTGTGTAAAAATCATTCTAAAAGTAACACTCTTATCGACTGGGTTATTACCCTGCTTAAACATTTTTCCAAAAATTGTCTTGGCTTTTACGCCGCATTTCATTCATTTGTCTCCCTTTGTCTATATTATATATACGCTTTTGTTTTTCGTACGAAATATTTGTTAGTCTTTTTTAAGGCGTTGAAAATTTTTCGAAATTATCTGTATTTCCGTCACAATTGTACCTTTCAAGGGCCTCTCTATATATCGCTTCCGTTTATTTCAACATTCAATATTAAACCACTTTTTTTTCGCTCTGGTCAATTCACTGTCGAGGAAATGTTGAGGTTTTTTACCGTGTGCTGACGATAGTTCTCTTCTGCCTAGATTCTATAATGATATTAGTGTTTTTGTACCTAAATTGTCGGTAATATTAAACTGTAAACAAAATATGCTATCTTGTGTTTAAAAGTAGAGTTTGAATCTTTTATGAATATAAGTAAATAAATACATAAAAAAAACTAAATGAATAGATTTAACAACTTATTTGTAGCAATAATTTGATATAAAGGGGCATATCTTTATTATTTCTAAATTGTCAGAACAATTCGTCCTCAAAATCATTCGAACTCAATGCCATTCGTACCAATATTCGACCCATTATCAATTTCTCTTGGATGCTTGATTTCTTCACTTTCAGTAAACGATCATTAAATATAACTATATTATTGGGTATAAATAGAGCTCAAAGCTGCGGACAGGCAGTCTTCCGACTTCCCTTCGTGGCGTGCACGTCGCTCGGAAGGCATAGGTCACACCAGATGGTTGACCTAGTTAGGTCACTAAGCTAGTGTGACCTAACCAACGACGAAAGGTGTGGCCCTAAGGAGAGTTGCTGCCCGGAAGAGGTGCCTTTCCTCTTTGTCAAACTTTGTTCAAGGAAGCGAGGAATTCGGGGTCCTAAGAGAAGGTCTACGACGAACGACAGCATGAAAAGACCTCCGTCGCGGCTCTACGACATCGACGACGTTGCAGGCGAATAAGTCCCTCCGTTGCAGGCCTCTACGTTTACCAGCAATCGTAATAGAGGCCGAACTAGTCTGGGACATATGGTGTCCCCCCCCGCGCCCCCCCCCCTCAACACTACAGAAATAATTAATTAAAATATTTATTAGGTTTAATTACTTGGGTTCTTGCACTATTTTACGAAGCATTTCAATTGCATTAATTTTAACATTGCGTTAGGTGTAATTGTTATAATTACTAAAGTATTGAAAACTCGATATCCAAGTGGTTTTTCTATATATATTAAGTAGCCTAAAAAGTGTTACCCCAATTTTATATAAGGTAAAGTAAAGCACATCAACTATAAAGGCACGTTACTGATATAAACAATAGTTAATTAAACTTGGTTCAAAAATTGAACAAATTATTGTATAATCATTTGTAACCAATCAACTGGCAAAGTAGCCATAAGAAACATTATATATATCAGCTAGCCCGTGCACGTTACAAAATTGGCGCCCAACGTGGGGCACATCTAGCTTAAGATAGGCTTACTTATCCTAGACTTTTAAGAACATAGCTGAGTATAGAAGTAAATGGTCTGATGAAGACTTTTGTTATATGTATGATGATTGGAAAATCTTAGGAATGAGAATCGTAGACTGAAACTCCAGAGAGAGATTGATAGTCTTCAAAGACAGATTGACCAGACTAATAGTGAACTGGTTACATCAACACCTGCTATGGTTAAACATGTCAGTATCCAGATAATATTTATGAAGATTTTACACCAAGAATAAAGACTTCCCCAAAGCCTAGACGTCTTTTGCCTTCATTGCCTATTAAAAGTGAAAAACATGAGAGGGATGTGATAGACAGAATGATCACCCAAAGACGGAGGATTGTTGACTTCCTTCCCCCTGAATATCAGAATGACCAACATTAATTTGATAACAACCAAACTTCAGACACAAAAGTTTTGTTTTCAAAAGTATAAAGATTCAAGGTCTACTTTCATGAAACCTGCAACTTATGACGGAACTTGTGTATGGACAAACTATAAAGCACACTTTGACGCTTGTGCAACTTTGAATGGTTGGAATGAAAATGAGAAAGGTTTATACTTATCTGTATCCTTACGAGGCCAAGCTTAAGGAGTGTGCGGAAATTTGACAACAAAGACACACAATTATGAAGAACTTGTGAGAGCACTCGAGGATAGATTTTCACCAAGAAATCAGACTGAATTATACAGAGTTCAGTTGAGATAGACATAAAAAAGCTACTGAATCAATGGCTGAACTGGAACAAGATGTTCGTCGTCTTGCAAACTTGGCGTACTCTCATGCTCCTATAGATGTTCGTGAGACTTTAGCCAAAGAACAAATTATAGATGCACTTGTAAATTCAGACATGCGTCTCAAGATAAAACAAGCTAGGCCCATTGATTGAATGATGCAGTAAGGCATGCTGTAGAACTGGAAGCTTTCTACAGGGCTGAAAAGAAGCAGTAGGAAATGATAAAAAGTATACAAACAGATAACTTTTATAAAGAGTTTGAAAAACTTCAAACTCTTTTTGTCTTCTTTAAAACAAAGTGTTGACAGAATGCAGCGTCAAGGAGGATGTGAACGGCAAGATAACAAATATGTTAAGACACCGAATAGTTATGATCAAAGGCGTTTAAAACATTTTCCACAAAATTACTTTCAACATTGTTATTACAATAAAAAAGACAAAGAAAATCGTACATTAATAACTCTGTTTATAAGCGGTCTGATAGTGATAACAAAAGAGAATATGATACAGTGCGAAATTGTAATGAAGAACATGGACAAAATTTACAATTCATAAGTACTCACGCAACTCACAAAACAACAAGGAGCGTAAATGACAAACAAAATATTCAATTCGTCAGGACATTTAATGCTGGTTTATATGCTTATGGCAAAGGTTGGGTAATGTGTCAGTCAATTGCTTTAGTAGATACTGGAGCTACCGTTACTGTTACCTCCTTCAGAAAATCTTTGGCTTAAACTTAAGAGCAATAACAAAATTACACCTTTTGAACTTTCTGTAACATCAACAAGTGGTGATCTATTAAAAATCAAGGGACAAACAGAGATAGACCTGAGGTTAAAAAAAACCTTTAGGAAGACAAGGTTGTAGTGGCTGAAAATCGGAAATGATGTTGTTTTAGGTCTTGGGACTCGGGACGCCCATGATTTTTTGAGAGACGGGGTAATATGACGAATTGTTCTCTTCTGCCCTAAGATTCTATTATGTTATTTTAGTGGTTTTGTACATAAATTGTCGGTTAATTAAAATTATAAAAAATATGCTATCTTGGTGTTTAAAAGTAGAGTTTGATCTTTTATAAATATATAAAAAATAAATAAAAACTAAATGAATAGATTTGACAACTTATTTGTAGCAATAATTTGATATAATTGGGCATATATTTATTATTTCTAAAATGTCAGAACAATTCGTCCTCAATGCCATTCGTACCAATATTCGACCCATTATCAATATCTCTTGTATGCTTGATTTCTTCAACTTCAGTAAACGATCATTAAGTATAACTATATTATTGGATATAAAAAGAGCTCAAAGCTGCGGACAGTCAGTCTCTGTCCAGCTGCCGAAGTGTCAACACTACAGAAATAATTAATTAATATTTTAGTTTAATTACTTGGGTTCTTGCACTATTTACGAAGTATTTCAATTGCATCAATTTAACATTGCGTTATGTGTAGTTGTTATTACTAAAGTATTGAAAACTCGATATCCTAGTGGTTTTTCTATATATATTAAGTAGCCTAAAAAGTGTCACCCCAATTGTATATAAAGTTCAAGTAAAGCACATCAACTATAAAGGCACGTTACTGATATAAACAATAGCTAATAAAACTTGATTAAAAAGTTAAACAAATTATTGTATAATCATTTGTAACCAATCAACTGGCAAAGTAGCCATAAGAAAAATTATATATATCAGCTAGCCCGTGCACGTTACAACTGTTAGTTATGTAGACCTCAATATAAAAATGTCTCAACTTTAAAAGCATAGTTCACCTTTAGTTTTTTAGACCTCAATATAAATATTACTCAAAAATACAATCAAAGTTCACAGTTAGATTCGAAGACCTCAATTTAAAAATGCATCAATTATACAATCATAGTTCACAGTTAGTTGTGTAGACTTGAATATTAGAATGCCTCAATTATACAATCATATTTCGTCTTTAGTTCTGTAGACCTCAATATAAAAATGTCTCAACTATATAAGCATAGTTCACCTTTAGTTGTTTATACCTCAACACAAAAATGCCTCAATTATACAATCAAAATTTACGGTTAGTTGCATAGACCTAAGTATAAAAATGCCTCAACTATGTTTAGGAATGAATACCGATAAAGCCGGTGTTATGTGACATGAGAGACGCTATACTCATCATAATCCGGACAGATTCATTTAAACCGAGGCAATTTTCAAAATTTGTCCTTTCCTTACTCTCAAAGTATCCCCCATACTTTTTAAAAGATTAAAAATATTTCACTGCCGTGTTTTAACCACGAAAGCAAAATACTCAAACTTGTAAAGTGTTTTGGCGCGAAGGACACGTGTTCAATAATAAGTCCGAAGTGTATTCAAAGTTAATATATTCAATTTATCTTTTGATGCAACTGTTACTTATGTTTAGATAACATAAAAAATTAATCTGTTTCTGTTCAAGTAAATTTATATTTCAAGCTAACATAGTGCATTACTGTAGTGTTGGTATTTTAAAGTAGCAGCTTCCAGTTATTGGCTTATTGCACCCTACTTTACTGAAAATAAGCAACACCTTTTAGAAAAATTACAAACACTTTGGGCATATTTCTTATCCAAATCATGTATCATCCATGAGGCGGTGGAATAAAGGGGACATGAGAAAACTTTTATTTTCTAGGTGCACACGCGATAGCTTGTAAAGATACGGAAGCCATTACGTGATCACACAATATTTTTACGTGCGCACGTGTGTGCAATATCTACCACGTGGCCAGGCAACACAATTACGTGCGCACCCAGTTTGTAACATCTCAGTTGGTCACGTATTTTTTATAATAAATATCAAAGGAATCACATACATTCTATAAAGGTTTTCTAACAACGATGATCGATGGCAAACAAACTGTTTAACCCTTTTTACGTTTCAGAGTCCTTCAAGTTTAACCTTGAGAAGAAAGAGGTTTAACAATAGCGATACAGGATTCTTTAAAAATTCATTCAAACTACCCCCTTACCCTGAGATGGGAATTTGGACTGCAAGAGCCTTTTATGGTGGAGAGGTATTTTTTAGGCATATTTATTTTTTAAAAATGAAGATCGTGTAGGAAAAGAGTTTCTTACAAAATTGCATAGATATTAAAGGGACTCCACTGAGGGTTTTTGACATGACGGGACTGGAAATATTTTTTAAAGATTTTTACCCTATTTGATGTAGATCTATACTAAAAACTTATGTGCAAAATTTCAGATCATTAGCTCCCTCCGTTTTTCCCGAATAATTATTATAATAGTAAAAAATGACCCAAAATTGAAAAGCGTTTAAACGCTTTTCACTCAAATCGGACTGAGAATAACACAAACATATGATTTTCAATGTATTTTTTGTATATTTCTTGGTTATATTTTATTTATATTTCTGTTTTAAGTGATTATGTTTATCTATGTGAAAACTAAAAATTTTATGTTTGAGGCTTAAAAACCTCAGTGGAGTTCCTTTAAGAATAATTGAATGACCTAGTGAAATATGAATTATATCTTAAACGTGATAATATATATAGCACTAATATAAACATTAACTCGGATGTTCAGAAAGCATGTGAGCAATAAAGTATATAATTATGTAGAGTAAACATACGGGAATTTAAAATCCATACACGATTCTTTTTGATTTTAAATTTAATTTGATTGTTTACGAAAATTGTTATTATCACAATTGAAGATAGCGATTTAGAGTTACCATTTATACTTCGGTTTCAATTCAAGATAAAATGAATTCCATATTTGCTAGTTATAGACATCTTGTTGTTTTTTTTAGTTCGAGACCGAGTCACACACCCTCTTTGAAGTTCGGGAATATGGTAAATTATCTTAATAATTTAATTCTGACATTTGTTATTTTTATTATATAAACATATAGTATTAATATATAGAAAAGAAGTCTACTACCGCTAAGAATTATGTCCAATATGGTTATAATCAACTCTTAAGGTATTACCATCCTATTGCATTACCTCCGCTTTGAAGAGTATTCAAATAGGCTAGAGCTACTGTTAACTACTGTAACATTGAAATAGAGGGCTGTGGTTTCAATCCCCAGCAGGGTCAACTTTTTTTTTCTTTCTTTTTTTCTTTTAAAATTATTTATGTATCTCTCATGTTCTCATTTCCAGTTGGAAAGAAAAAGTGTTTAATTTTGATTTTTTTTTTTAATTTATATAGGTATTTTTTGGCTAAATTATGCTAAATCTAGTAATAAATATGGTACCTGATATTTTCAAAGTGCAATAAATCAAAACTAGACGGTAAAAGTATTTCATATTTTACAAGATCTACAAATATACTTCTTAAAAGATTTAGGGAAACTTTGAAAACAGGCACTCATTTGGGTAAATTTTAAGGATTTTTTAAATTAGGCTCCCTAAGTAAGAAAATGGTCAGACACGTGGTAAAAATGGGTGGGGTAGGGTAACATTATTATACAGATTTCATAAATTTTAAATAGAAACCATAATTTTGCTTATGTGGATTGTAAGCTGAATGGTACTATTTGTTTTTTACCAAAAATTAATGGGAAAACATTTTTCTTTAGAATGTTATTGCAGATTATTTAAGGGTTCCTCATTTCTAAAAAAGGACGCACATAACATCCTAGCTTGAGTTCAGAAAAGTGGCCATAACTTGATTTCCGTACTGTAAACTTTGTTTAAATTGTGCATACAGGTGCACTTTATGGTATATATCTGGCGTATGATGACATTTTTTAGTTCCTTATAGTTCCCATTAGAGTCAAAATGCCTTAAATACTACTACAATGTGCAAAATATGTAAACCAGAAGATATGGTGTTAAATGATGGGTATAAACTTCAGGTTATATCATGTTCCAGATTGTGAGATTTCTTATAATAAGAGTGATTGTAACATAAGTAACAACAATATTAAGAAATTTAACCGTCGTCTTAAATTTATAATAAAATAAGAAAGACATTGTTTATTAGTGTTTCAGAGTCAAAACGTTCTGCACTTTGAACTTAAGCAGTTCAGTCGGTTTTTATTAAAATATTATTGATAACAACATAATAGTTAAATATTTTCAGAAATTATGTTTTATGGGAACGGGATCTAACAAAAAAATTCACTTATTTTACATTTTTTAAAATAATTTCAATATTTTTTTCCCCCTTTTGGGGTTTTATTTTTTTTCCACCCAAAGTGTCCAAAACTGTATTCATTTTATTTTGGGTTTCGTAAATGTTTTAACAATTTTTATGATGGTTTCTCATTGGACAATCATGAAATATTCACGAATGAATAACGAGTTGCCTTTCTTTTCATTGGTAACGTGCTTAATACATAACATTTTCTTTTGCTGCACTAAGGTACCAAGAGTTGCCTTTCTTTTCATTGGTTACGTACTTAATACAGTGCATTTTCTTTTGCTGCACTAAGGTACCAAGAGTTTCCTTTTTTCATTGGTTACGTACTTAAATCGTTGCATTTTCATTGGCTGCACTAAGGTATCACGAGTTGCCCTTCTTTCCATTGGTTACGTACTTAAATCATTGCATTTTCTTTTGCTGCACTAAGGTATCACATGTTGTCTTTCTTTTCAATGGTTACGTACTTAAATCTTGCATTTAAATTGGTTGAAAGATCTGTAGCTTTTTCTTGCGAAACTGATTTTTATTGATTTTAGTTCTTCCAACGTTCGGAGTGACCGTTGACGTTGACGTTGAGTTCCTCCTTAAAACCACGAAGTCGATAACCGTCAAAGTTACGGCCAAGTAAGAATACCATATACTCTTTAATTTTTTAAAGATATGAGTTTGAAATAAGTTTTCCTTTGAGTTTGTTTAGGTTTTTAATTCATTTTTTTCCAAATAAGGACGATGGACGAAGTTAATAGGTATGATATATTAGTACCAAGCATCAGAGACTTGCCATAAGAGAAATCGAACTCGGCGTTTACAAGGAAAGTAGGCTCTTAAGAGAAGAATCCTGAAAAATCTCTACAAAAGTCTACAAAAATGATATATTTATTTTTTAATTCACACCAGGTAGATGTTCATGTCCAGAAAAAAAACATTTCATTAGACTATAAAAGATTATTTACATGTTCATCACGTTGTGAGCTGTAGCATATTCTATATGAGGAAGGAATGTAAGCTAGAAACTCGCTGGTAGCGTATTTAGTATTCTATCACTCCACGTGATTTTGTCACTATAGACAAAGAAGGAAAAAAACCGGTGTTAAACTGCCAATAAACACTTGTAAGGAATTACTTGTATATGCGGCTTTTATGTTTTCACCCTCGATTATATAGTTTACAAAGCCTTTCAAAGCAACAATAAAAAGCATTTTTATTTATATTTTCAGTTCTTATAATGTTTTCTTTTCATACAATACCGACATAATATCTCACATACACTAACGCCACATATTTTGATCCATATCAGTTAATTAATAGTTTGACAAAACGGCGCCAATCCGCATGCAACGTAATGACGTCATCGTAGTTAACAACTCATTCATAAACAAACTGACGTTATTTCATACATACAAGAATGATATATGGAGCACTGGTGACGTAAGTTTTTATTGTTGAAAACTTGATAAAATACCGTTTTTTTTCTTATTATTTATTTTGATTAATAATGTCTATATCTTTGCAACAGTAGGGTGCGAAAATCGAACAGCGTTATACGAAAATCGGCACCGGAAGTTATTTACGCTTTAAAAAATAACATTAGTTATCTTCCTTATTTTATCGTTATAGAATCGAAATAACATCGGCCTGAGAGGTGTATATCGGCTATTTAACACCGGTTTTGTCGTTTAGATGCGAAAAAAATAACCAATCAGGCCTACGGCCTTCGTGGTCAATTCCTACGCATCAAAACTCCAAACCGGTGTTAAATAGCCGATATACACCTCTCAGGCCGATGTTATTTCTTAAACAACTACTAAAGAAGGATATGTAAATAAAAACACAAACATTGTACTTTACAGATATGTCTACGGTAAGCCTGTCCAGGGAAATGCAAGGCTTTTGTTGCAATTGAAAGGGGGAAATGGAGATCGTGACTTTATCCTAAATATGGACAGAAAAACGGTGTGTTGATTCGTTTCTATTATTCATTTTATACATTCCATAACAAATGCATATCATACAGGTCCATTTATAAGACCCACCTAAAGAAAGTCATCTGAACCCAAAATCTGATTGCTGAAAATAAGTTTAACGCTACATTATGCCACACAAATCCATATTTTGTTTATTTCAATTATCTTGACATGTCAAACATCTGTTTCATAATGTTAAGATTTAAGGGTTTGTGCAGATAAGATTTTAAACAACTGAAAAAAAAAAGATTTGCCCTTAATAGACAGGACTGACTTTAAGAATCAAATCCTCTACTAGAGGCATTTTGTAGCACAATTGGTATGTTGGTATATTTTACCTATTTAGGGTATGCTGAATCTTGACCATTAGTAACCTTGACCTTGGGGGTAGCAACCTGGATGTTGCATTCTGCAGATTGTGTCATGGTGACGATCATTTGTGCCAAATAATTTTAAAACCTTTGAATTTTCAATAAAATAAAGAGCGGACATAAAAAATAGATGTTTTTACATTGGACCTTTGAGTGTGACCCTGACCTTGAGAGTTGTGATTTGAATATTGTGCTCTGCCAATGGTGTCATAATGGTGATAATTTCTGCCAAAATATCTTATCAAGAGGGCCATGATTGCCCTGAAATCGCTCACCTGTATATAGGCCCGTGGGCAAAGGGCTATTTTAAACCAGGGGCTTTTATTTGAACAAATTTGGTAGACACCAAAAAGAAGGTGTTTAGTGATAAATATCTAAGCTGTAACTTTTTGGGGTTTTATAAGAAGATTTTTTAAGTTTTGACTATATACGTTTAGAGAATAACAATGACCCCCCCCCCCCCCCCAGATGGGCCAAGGGCTTTCAATTGAACAAACTTGGTAAACAATCACTTGATGATATTTCATGCTTAATATCTAAACTCTAGCTTTTTGGTTTATTTAACAGAAGATTTTTTAAGTTTTTACTATACACATTTAAGGAAAATCAAAGACCCCTGGGGCGGGGCCAATTTTAACCGAAGGGCCCTTATTTGAACAAACTTGGTAGATACCCATTAAAAGATGTTTCATCCTAAACATCATGGCTGTAGCTATTTGGGGTTTTTTAAAGATTTTTTTTAAGTTTCTACTATATACATAAAGGGAAAAACAATGATCCCCTGGGGCGGGGCTAATTTTTATCCCAGGTCTTTTGTTTGAACAAACTTGGTAGGTACTGACTAGATGATGTATCATGCAAGATATTTAAGCTCTAGATCTTTCTGTTTTCAAAAAAAATATATTTTAAGTTTTTTCTTTCGGCTTCCATGGCAACCAGAGTTCTGCATGGAATTATGGAACCATTAATTTAAGACCGTATTCAAGTTGTCGCCCTTGGATGACGTCATTGGGGGATACGGTGGACATTGCCGATATGATTAAGTACATTAAAGGGAGACACAGGCAAAAATTTTATTTCTTAGTTTTGAATTTTTTCATTCCAAATTCTGTAAATGCCCTCAAAATGAATATATTAGACAGTCAAAGGAACAAAACTTTTCTCCATATAAAGAATAAAATGCTTGTTTCCTAACCTGACCCGCGTGGGTCAGGTTAGGCCTCTAGGATTTCATAATAGTTGTCTCAGTGAACTCTGGTAACGTAAAAGAACATGTCAAATGAATGACTTTGACTTGTTTCAGTCATACAATATCAACAATATCTGTTATTGTAACTTCAAGGGTATATTCAAGTCACCTGACTTGTTTTAAAACTATTCGGTGATTATTTTAGCGTCTAGATTTTGTTCAACATATATAGATATATTCATGTTTCAAATCCAAAATATATAGAATTTAAAGAGAAATTCATGCTGAAACGTTTAGAAATGTCATTTTATCGCAAGTTGAGTACAAACGATCATTTTAATAATTCTGTCATTATTTTGCCTGAATATCCCATTAATAGAGGGATAACTCCTTTCTCTTTAAGATTGGCAGATTGAAATTGCCAAAATTGTGTGTAATTGAATAAGATATTACATAAAAAGGATGGTCAAATGAACAAAAATGTTTACTATAATAATAAGGTTTATGATTTGTTTCATTAGTAGACCATATGGCTAAGTAACAGATCATGATTACCATTTTCGTTAGATTCTTTAAAGTGAAAATTTTACCAGGCAGTTAAATCGGACTTACTTGCTAATACCAGAGATGTAGATAATGTATCTATATGTCGCTGCTAATATACAATACCCCAAAATATATTTTGAGTTTCAAATATGCTATAGTTTCAAAAAACGGCTGCGTAATAATTAATTACAAGATACTGGTTGATTAAAAATTATAATGATTTAAGCATTACTAAGAAAAAGAAAAACAACAATGTAAATCTATGTTGTTTCAAAAAAATTTAGGCATTAAAAGTAAAACTTATTTTGAATGTACATGACTGTATACTATTTGTGTCGGCAAAAAAGGCACTTAAAAATCGTACATCACAACAATATATTTAAGCTGATAAAGTGATATTTTCGACTGGATACTTTTTTAATTCATACTATACTTATCAATTTTTTTTCTTTTTAAAAATCACTTCAAAAAACAACTTGTGAAACACGTACACAGAAATTCGTTACATGTATTATATACAGAATTATAAATTTACGTATTTTGACTGTGCCAGTTTGCAGGACTCTTGAGTATCGAATCAGTAAGGCATAACACATTAATTAAGTCCCTAGGATGATCCAATTCGGACCATGACTATTTTGACAACTAACAAAAGTGACGTAATCTGAAGTAATGTTTTCCTGGTTATTTATGATATAACAGCCAAGTGCAGCTTATATATACAGCATATGCACCCTGCTAATTAATATGTTACGGCCCAGTTGCGCTTATATAACACATCAATTTATTTATGAAATAAGCTACTAAGAAAAGGTCTAACTTTATTTTTATAATCATAATAATAGATTTGTAATATTATAATTATCTTATCGTCTGTTGCAAATTTAAAGTTATGAAATTCATTGTTCTTCCCGGAATATTTATAAGATAATATCCTTCTCTGGTTCTTTGAAAGAATTTTTATACGGCATAATGAAAATAAAAACCAGTAAGTATTGACAGAATGTATTCTGCTATTGTTCTATCAAAGCTTGAAAGAAATCATTAAAAAAAAATGGCAATCTTATTTTCATGTTTGTCACAAATACGCCGGAATTTTCTAAATGACAGAAAATAACACAGAAAACTAGAAAATGACCAATAAAATTTACAATAGGCAATTTCAGTGTGTATGGGTGTTTATGAAATATTAAAATTTGATTTAGAAACATATTAAGCTTTTTATCCTGGCATTAGGAAAATCAAATAAATATATTTACATTGAAATTTCGCTGTTTAACTCGTATCGAGAATTAATCTTAATCTTTGTTTTCGTATTTTTTTATTGTCCTGATATTGATTTTATGTATGCATCAGTAGATTTTTACATGTTATAATCATAAATGAACGAACAGTATTTACGCATTTAACTTTTCAATAAGCTCTAACATTCTATGCGGCCAGTATAGTATGTATAGTATAATCCCCCATTTACGTCACATCCGGTAAGGGAAGTAACTCTTCCCCGACTGTCATCGCTTAAATAAAAGGGTTTGTATTCTTTGAACAATTTTTTAAAGTTAACAACTACATTTTTGTTCGTACATTCCATTATTGATATGAATTTATTTAAATTACGCCATTAGCAATAATATCTACGTAAACATGTTTTCCTTAACTCGATATAATATTGACATACTAATAAGAAGTGATATTCAGTTGCAATTTGTTTCATATTGCATTTTGTACAGAGGCCTTGGTTTCTTTCAATATTTCTATGTCTACTCTCTTTAATAGCTAATTGTTTTCGAAGAGCACCTTAATCTTGATAGCATTTTACGATGTTTTAAATTATCAACACAAATAAAATATTTCCCTTGGGTAAATTCAATCATTTTAAACAAATTATAACTTTCTAACTATGCTTTAGGTGCTTATCATAAATTCTTTGTATAATAGTATTAACATGCACAAGTGAAATATTATCATTATTCCATAGATATGAAAAACCTAAGTACTTTACAATTCTGACTTTTCGCAGAACTAATAATGGAAATAAAATTGTCAAAACTGCTGACGTTGTAGTTTGCTGACGTACACCAAGAACTTGTTTTAAAAATTTCAAATGTACTTTTTAGATGTCTGGTGACTTATTAAAACCCAATACCTCTGAACTATATGTAAGAATCGGTAAAACCCTGCTTTCAAAAAAAAATGATTTTTTCTGTGACATTAAGGGCAATTGATTGAAATAAAGAATTAAAGAGTAAAATGCTTTAAGTGCTTGATTAGATAAAGCCTTTTGGGCTTGATTAAAATTCACATTAGACTATAATGTAACATCAAGATAGGTGAATGACTAAACAACGCTAAGTAGCTCATTATTATAAAATACTTCTACATCTTCGTTTCTATTTCTAAATTAAAAAAACTATAGCAACCGTTTCATCTACATTCACCACAATACCCCACTTAGTACAATATATATGACGTTTATTAAGGAGGCATTGCAATCCTTCCTTAGAATTAGAGAATAAAACCGTATCGTCCGCAAATAATAGTAAAAGTAGATGTATATCATCTAATGAAAATGTGTCAACATTATCTATTTGTAAATGTTCGTGCATATCATTTACGAAGAAAATAAATAACAGAGGTGAGAGTGGTTCCCATTGTTTTAAGCCCAAATAGCTCATAAAAGTATCTGTCAGGCAACCATTTGCTCTTACACAAAATTTCACACAATTATACATACTACGTAACATTGTTTACAACTTTATATGATACACCATATTCAATCGATTAAAATCATATTCCATTTCTGTATAACATATCAAAACATTTTTTGAAATCAATAAATGGTGCATATACCTTTTTCTTTTCATGACGAATTGTCATATTAATAATTGAACATAAAACAAAAATGCAATCAGAAGTACTTTTATCTTTCCTAAAACCATACTGGAAATCCTTCAATATTTCATTACTTTCAGCCCATTTACGTTACCTCATGTCTAACAATATTGACAAAAGTTTAGAAAATATACTAGTTAGTGTGATACCCCTGTAATTATTCACATCATTTAGATTACCCTTCTTGGGCATTGGTAAAATAATACCACTACACCACGATAGGGGATATTCATTTGAATTGAAAATATGATTAAACTGTTTACATAATATTAGTGCTAAAATTGTTTTGCATTCAATAAATATCTCCGGAATAAGTTTATCTATACCAGCACTTTTACCACTCTAAAGGGAAGACATAGCCTTTCTCACGTCATCGATCGTGATATCCATGTCAAGCTCTTCAACATTGTTGTAAAATATATCATTATTATCTAAATGTTCCTCAATGACATTATTTCTGAATGTCTCTTCGTTTGAAAATAAGTTTTCAAAATGCTCAAAAAAATCTTTCGATGACAGTTCATTTTTGTTATATTTCTTTCTATTTTTTTTTATTTCCTTCCAAAACTTTTGTGGCTGCGTGCCAGCTAAAAATGGCATTTTTTCTGATTTAAATTAAATTTAGTTCGTGTTCGCCTCTTAGATATTCTATAAAGACATATGTTATTGGCCAGTATTTCTATATTTGGTTCGGCCTGTTCTTACAATAATTTTTATTTGCACGTTTAAACTCCTTTGTAGCGTTCGCACAGTCTTGATTAAACCATGAACTTTTTAATTTTTTCTTTCTATTATTTTGTATTATTTCTTAATTGTTTTGACTCTCCAAATAAACTGAATGATTTTTCATACAAAACATCTGATATTTTCTGTGTACCTATATCTAATTCAACATCATTTCTAAATACACTTTTTACAGTCGTGTCAATGTTCGTAACTTCATTCTCAATGAATTCTTTGTAATTATCTATCTTGTCTCTATCTTCCTTATTCCATTTCAATACATTAATACTAACACTTTCATTATCAATTATTTTCGATATACATGCAAAACTCATATCAAGTTCAACATATTTTTGATGTGAAAAAGTAAACAAGTTATGTATTTTAAATTCATGTACAAAGGGAAATAGCTCGCATTGCATAAGCACACAATAAACACATCAACCCATTACTGCAGCTACATAAAATTATATGCATGTACATAAGTACCAAATGCAAATAAAACGTTTGCTTTGTATAATCACACATGTGTGGTTGATTAATTTAATTACAAACAAATTTGAATACTTAGTTTTGCAAATGTTGTTTTATCCAAATATTTTCCAAATTTTTAATATAACACAAAATAGCTAAGCCTTGGCAACTTCGCTACCACCTCCGAATCTATATGTTTTTTCTGCATTTATCGCCAAAAATAATATGGACAAATACTCTTTTTGGTAATTACAGACCGCTGATTTGGTTCCTTTGATAGTGTTGGGATCACTTATGCTACTTTTAAAACACTCCTTATAGTCATAACCTGACTTGTTGTAAGTCAAGCTACGATCATAATTGCTAAGGCCTTTTTAGCTGAATCATATTAACCTTTTTGTCGAAAACTTTAAATATTCATCAGGTGTTCAATACTGTTCTGCCGGTTCTTGTCGGATTTGAAAATAAAAGCGTTACGTTTGTTATAGAATGCCCAAAGCTCAAAGTACCGATAGCTTATTCCAATCTAGGTTCAAAGTCAAATGGGACTAGCTCATAGCCTTGCTGTTCACAGTGGAATCCATAAAAACCTAGTATCAATAGGAATGTCTCCTGAAGAGTTTCCCAGTCAGTCAACACTAATTTATATACAATCATTGGTTTCAATTCTCTTACCTAGCTGTTTTGTTATTGTTGATGTCCCTGGATGGAAACATATACAATTATAAAAATTCGACCATTTCTCACTGAACCCCGCCTGTCATGAGCCATTCAAAACGCAATTTTTAATGCCACAGGAGAAGAAATTGAAAGGCAAAAAACTCAAAAAGGGGCGCCTACGGAGCACGCTATCCGCCTTTTTTGTATGCTTTATATAGAATTAAACTATTTTTCAAATGCGAATTTTAAAGCCAGAGTGTGGCCTTTTACAGCCCACATGGTAAATAATATATGGAATATTTCTCTTCAAAGAATGAGCATTAGCTCTGTTGTTCAGAAATCAGTGTTGTTTTTATTTTCAATTTACGACTGAACGGCGATTTCTAGCGTTTTTGAAATTGCCAATACTTAAATTTATTTCTATCTGCCCTTTGATAGTTTTATTTTTAACACGGCATAGCCTTCGGTACACTATTGAGCAGAATAAAGAAAAACAGAAAACATATTAACAGACTAAACGACTTATCCAAGCCAATGCTTAAGACTGTGACAAATATTGCCATGTGTACATATAAACACCCTACTCATGTGAAATATACATATAAGACCATATTGCATAACACAGTAAAGTTCTGTCAAAGCTTCAGTATCAAATTCATTCACTAGACACTTAAATATGAAATAAATAAAAAAAATGAAATCTAGTTTTACCTTAAATTTTACGTGTTAACCTTAAATTAAAAGAAAATTGTTATTAATTGACTGAAAAATTGTATTTACTTAGATAATATTGAATAATCATTTGATTTAAAAGTGACCTTTGTAGGTCAATGTCAATTTGATTTTCTTGGTATCCACCCTCATCGTCTTCAGCATTAGGTTAAAACACTCAAGATACCACTTGTACTATAAAATGCCTCTAGCATTCATATTTTCTTAAAATCAGTCCCATCTAGAATGTAATAGCATGTGTCGTAAAAGTAGCAATTATAATTAAACAAGGAACAATGTTGTATTTTGACCTCCATACAAAATACTCAATAACTAAAAAGCTGCAAATGTGTATTATTTTTGAGACTGTAACAAGATACTAAAAAAAGTTTTAGTGAATAGTGTTAGTGTTAGTGAATTAAAAATGATAGCATTTCTGAGGCATAATGAGCCTTTAGCAGTATGTACATACCGTGAAAAAAGAAATAAATTAATAGACACACGATCAGTAACCATATTTTGCCTTTTCTTCAAACGAACAGTAGGACGTGTTTCTTCCGATTTTTCCGGCAGAAGATGAAATGTTAATTGAAGGGTTATATTGCCATTTTAGCTTTCAATCAATTTTCCCATAGAAATAAATCCAAAAAGTTTTGAATGATCAAGTTCATTCTCGGGCTATCCTGCAGTATGAAAATCACAAGTTTTCAAAATTGATGGAAAAAAAAATGTTTTTTTATTGTAACTTAATTCTTTTTTCTTTTTTTCTTTATAGTTTAAATCGCCCCAGTTCGAGAATTCAGAATTCTTGGATAATTCGAATTTTTCCCCGTTGTAAAAGACAAGCCTTTTCCCTCGAAAAAACCCCCTAGAAGTGTTGCAAGGGTTTTATGAAAATGTGGGGAAAAGGGAGGGGGTTTCGAAGTCAGACGGAAACCTCTTCACAATTAACCATACGTTTTTCAAGTTCCCCAAAATCAAAATAAATTTTCCGGGCCCAAATTACAAAATATTTTTTGAAGGTACTAACTTGTTATGTTACCAAATATAAATATTGTAAATGAGTCGTGAACTTTTATCTCAAAATGATGGACATGCCGACCGTACTCGTAATATGAGAGCCAGAAATGGAGCTGCGTCTAAGATATCGGCGGTGGGGTTTATCAGCCAATGATAACCATGTTCGCTACATAATTGTCACAAATTCTATGTGAAAACTTGAAATCCTTAACTTTTACTTAATGGAAACAAGCATTGAAAGCCTTTGCCATTAGATTAGACACAAACCAGTCAGCACCTCCATGTAGTCTGACCAGGCTCTTTTTTTGTTGATAGCCTTTTATTTTCATGTTGAATTCCTTTAATCTTCAAATGAATTGTTCCAGGATCACAGCATTAAAGATATTCAGCATGTTAAGAATTAGATACCATTGTTGGTTTATGTTTAAGGTTGAAGTGCAGTATGTAAACGGAAAACCTGTTTCTGGCAAAGACCTTTTAGTTAGAATGAGCGAAAATGGGGAATTCAAAAAAGAGGAAAAAGAGACAACAAACGACGACGGCCGGGCAACAAGTATCTTTCAGACGGCTCAGGGCATAAATAAAATCTCATTTACTGTAAGTTTCATGGAGAATTATAAAAAGGCACTTTCTCACTTAGTCAAACAAACAAAATAATAACACGATTTTTTCTAGCGAAAGTTATTTTAGATTGACGAAGTACGCTCAAGGCTTTGATAGATTTTACCCGCTATTTGAAATTCGCGCGTTTGCAGCGTCGCTTTCACTTTTTTTGTTTAACAATGGTTGCCTGAAGTTTCGCATATTTTTTTAATTGAAGAAGGGCAAGACTATTGTAAGAAAATCATGTGTATATATTTATCCACCGTTAACTGTTGTGCCACTTTTTCAAAAAAATACACAGGTATCAACATCTGACAGTCAATACGAAAGTGACGTGTTTGAGGTGGCTGCGTACGCTGGAAAAAATCAAATCCAAGTTGAGCGTGTGAAGACAGTGAGTATTATGAAATGTTTAATTACAACATAGGGCGTCCGTGTCCAAGCGTGAATTCCCGCGAAAGATTTTAAATTCTCTTTAAACTTACCAGCTACCATACCGAACATGGGTGGTTCTGATCAGGTTGTCCGCTTTTGCCTAAAAAATAATGTACGGGGGGTTGGCGCCTTGAGGTCTTCCTCCACCAGTAAAACTGACAATTGTCACCATATGACCATTGAAAATGTAGATGTGACTCATTCAAACTAATTTAGACCTTGTATTATCTACAATAAAAAAGACACCAGTGATGATTCTTTGTTCAACTAGAACATTATGATTCTGTTTTTTCAAAAAATACTGATACTGAAAATAAAATTTCTTTCACGTCCATTTGTTTTTGGAAGTTTAAAAATAAGTGACCTTTTCCGATGAAATAAGATAAATGGGCAGTTATAAACTTTCGATACTTTTGCTTATCAGCCGTGATTTCGTACATTTGGTTTAATATTTATTACCCTTGTGGCTGAGAAGTTGCCATTTAAGAGTTGATGTTGATAAGAGTATGATCTATGTTCCGGCGTTATCTGATGTTAATTGTGTTGGCGCGTCGTTAGCATTGTTATATATACAGTGCATGTGTTGTATGTATTTACTATAACTCGGCTTTCGTTTTGTAGTGTATGGAACGCCAAATATGCCTAAATCGCTAATTTAAAATTAAATTTAAAATTACCTTCTAGATACTCACCAGCTATTTAAGTGGGTGCATAAGTAAAACACCTTTCATTGTAGATTTTGAATGACTTTGAAAATAGTATTTTATATATCCAGGAGAGAAATTTGATGATGATGCGGGCTTTTACGAACATACAAGGGATTTTATACACCGGAATGCTTTTTGTGGTATGTTAAAATTTCAGCATAATCTACAACTCATGAAAAATCATGACCTAAATTTTGATACTTAGGTTTCTAAATTATTTTTTGAATGACGGACATAGTCTTGTATATGATAACTACGATATTGATGATGAATGAAATAGTAATATTGATAATTTTAGTTTTTATGATGATGAAAAGTTTTGTTTTGATGATGATAATGATGATGATATTGATGATAAAAATATTGATGATGATGATGATGATGATTGTTTTGATGGTGATGATGATGATTGTGATGATGATGGTGGTGGTGGTTATGGTTTTGATAGTGATGGTGGTGGGATTACTTCATTAATATTCTTATTTTTGATGGTGATGATGAGTATGATAGTGATGATTGTAGTAATATTTATGATGATGATGATTGTTGTTACATGTAACATGATGATGATAATAATAATGATGATGATGATGATGGTGGTGGTAATGGTGGAGTTTAAAGTGGTGTTGGTGGTGTGTAAATTGATAGTTAAACATTTATGATCGTACAATTTTGATGATGTTGATGAAGATGGCGATAATTGTAGGCATATAAATGATGATAATGATGATGATGATGATGATGATGATGATGATGATGATGATGATAACTGTAGGTATATAAATGATGATAATGATGATGATGATGATGATGATGATGATAACTGTATGTATATAAATGATGATAATGATGATGATGATGATGACGATAACTGTAGGCATATAAATGATGATAATGATGATGATGATGATGATAACTGTAGGTATATAAATGATGATAATGTTGATGATGATGATGATAAATGTAGGTATATAAATGATGATAATAATGATGATGATGATGATGATGATGATGATGATGATAACTGTAGGTATATAAATGATGATAATGATGATGATGATGATGATAATTGTAGGTATATAAATGATGATAATGATGATGATGATGATGATGACGATAACTGTATGTATATAAATGATGATGATGATGATGATGATGATGGTGGTGGTTGTAGATTTTTAAATGATCATGTTGAGTTTATTAACTGCTGTTGAAATTACAGGTTATTTCACGTGGTAAAGTAGTTTATACAAAATATAAAGAGCCAGGAACACAAGCTAGTGTAGAGATAACAAAGGATCTACAAAAATTAGTCTCACCTGATGCCAGACTACTTGTCTTCTATGTTGATAAAACTACACACGAGCTTGTGGCTGATTCTATTAAGTTTGAGGTTGAAAAGATGTGCCGCGGTGAAGGTGTAAGTAAATTAAAAATCAAAGAATTACTTAATAATTCTCATGTTGCTTGCTTTTTTGACGATACTCACATGTGGATAACTATCTTTTTATGTGTATGTATGATTATCTAATGATGCTGACAGTTGTATGGTTATCTCATTATGCTGACATGTTTATGATTATAAAAAAAATTAATTATGGTGACAAGTGTATGATTATCTATCTAATTATTCTGACAAGTCTATGATTATCTATCTAATTATTCTGACAAGTGTATGATTATCTATATAATTATTCTGGCAAGTGTATGATTATCTATCTAATTATTCTGACAAGTTTATGATTATCTATCTAATTATTCTGACAAGTGTATGATTATCTATCTAATTATTCTGGCAAGTGTATGATTATCTATCTAATTATTCTGACAAGTGTATGATTATCTATCTAATTATGGCGACAAGTGTATGATTATCTATCTAATTATGGCGACAAGTGTATGATTATCTATCTAATTATTCTAACAAGTGTATGATTATCTATCTAATAATGGCGAAAATTGTATGATTATCTATCTAATTATGATGACAAGTGTATGATTATCTATCTAATTATGGCCACAAGTGTATGATTATCTATCTAATTATGGCGACAAGTGTATGATTATCTATCTAATTATGGCGACAAGTGTATGATTATCTATCTAATTATAGTGACATGTGTATGATTATCTATCTAATTATGGCGACAAGTGTATGATTATCTATGCTGATACGTGTATGCTTATCTTATAATGTTGATTCGTTTATGATTATATTATAATGCTGACACATGTATCTTATCTAATTATTCTGACAGGTGTATGATCATCTAATTATGTTGTAGAGTGTAATTAAGCTGACAGTTGCGATCATAGAAATTACATGTACATGTATATTTTTTTTTTACGAATTATTTTACCACTTAACTTATATATACATTGTATATGTTCAAAAAGCCTCTACAAGCATTGTATTTATTACGTACAACATTTATTCATGTAAACATGAAATGTGTGTTACAAATGAAATTTTTCTTGACTTGAATTCACTGAAAAATGCTGGGATGTGCGATTTTTGATTTTCCCCCCAAATTGTGGTTAATATGCCACATGACAAAACTTTTTGATTAGTTTTGACAGATAAAAGTATAAACATCTGAATGTGTCGCTTTGTTCTATCAAGTAATTTTAAATTTCTTTTTAAAAATTTTCTATTTAATTGATTTAACATCAGCCGTAAGGGTTTTTTTTCACTTCTGGGATGCCTAACAGCATGTATATTAAGTATCTGAAACTAGAATTAAATTTTAAAATTTCATAATCATACTAAAAATTTTAATTAAAAGTACTTTTTAATTCTCGAATGTGGGGTTGTTTTAAACATTTTGCTTTGATTTTAACTTTTTTTTGCTAAAAATTAAGGGGCTGAGAGAGGGAGATAAAGCCGGGAAACTCGAATTTTTTGACTGTTACTGGAACACCTTTCATGCACGTGGGTCTAAATATAATGGACAAAACTCTCCTTTTACTGAATGATAAGAATATTCTCAGGAAGAGCAAAGTAAGTGATAAACTAGAAAAAGCACTATTAAATAACATCTAAAATGCTATTTAATAGACATGAAAATAACACGTAAACAGACTATGATGTTCCGAAGGAAAATATCATGCAGCTATTTAAGTAGGGTTTTTTATCTTTGAGAAATAATTATAAGTGCATATACCATTTTCTCTTTTGGCAAAAAAAAAACAACCATATTTCTTTCATACAGGCTTCTTTGAAAGATTTCCCTTTTCAAAATCCGACCAATATATTTTGCAGGTATAGTTTATATTGCTGATATCCTTTAATCGTCATTTTAGTACCTGAAATTTTGAAAATATAGTTGTAGCTGTAGTGGTGTTGGTAGTTTTTTTATTCTTGAAGGCACTAAGCCACATTTAATGTGCCAGAGCTCAAAAAGATTTCATGAACTATCACAACGAAATTGACCTACACCGTCGGATATTCGAACCTGGGCGCCTGATTCACAGTCCAACACTCTTCCAATTGAGCTAACCGGAAGGCTATAAATTGTCATATTTGTAATAGTTCTAAGCATCATGTGACTGATTTTATATTGTTATTTTGTCAGATGTTTGAGGCTCTCCAGTCACATGATCTGGGTTGCGGAGAAGGTGGAGGGAGATCAGAAGCTGATGTGTTCAAGGTCAGAATATAATGTAGTTCAAACGAGTTTTTCTTTCGTCAGTGCTCAAAAGGCATAGCATGTGAAACCCATGTTAAAGAAGACACTTGTCTATGTTATAGAGAGCACGTGTCCATGTTATAATGAACAAGACTGTGTGAAATTTTATTTTGTTTTCAAGCGAGCAGGATGCAAATGAAATAATATCAAAACATTCAAATTTTAACGTGAAATACATAATCTATATTCGGTATTAAATCTTACAATACTAAACAAATTTTCTATTTTTCAGTTTTATAAAACTGGTCAGACATTCTAAAAATGACACATAAAACTAATACATGTAGCACCAAATGACGTTCATTTAATTAACGTCACATATTTACTTGTATGCACTACGGATATGTATTATGTTCATCCCTGCTGTCCTTCAGAAATTAAAAACTTTGACAGAAGCAAAAGCGACCAGAGAATGTTTCTCATTTCTGTAGAACAGCTGCGGCTGAATACTGACATACTTAGTGTCACGCTTTATTTGGCTTAATTAATTTTAACTTATAACATCACTTTTTTACAAATTTGATTCTATGAAATAGAAGGCTACTATTAACGGACTTTGATTTAGTATCGACTTTTTTTCTTCTATGAAATGTAACACACAAAGTTTTTAAGAAATACAGCGTTTTCATTGGATGACAAGTAAAGCTGGACACTTATTTGCTTAAAAAATAAATTCCTGTACTTTACTCAGTTTCAAAGAGAGTATCCCAATGGTAGATATCATTGTCTCGTTGAAATAGAGAAAATAAGAATCACCTTAAGAAAGCCCAACACGGCAAAATTGAAAATGTTGCAGGCTCGGTTTAATTGAACCTGTTCATGGACGGTACTGCCAAGTGCAAATTGCCGTCCACGCCCCCTAGCACCGGCTTAAGCAGAATTCAACATTTAAAGGGATATTCAGGCAAAATAATGACTAAAATATTAAAATGATCTAATGCACTCAAATCACGCTAGAATGACATTTATTAAAGTTTCAGCATCAATTTGTTAAAATTCTATATTTTTTTGGGTTTTAAGCGTAAATATATCTATACATGTTGAACAAAATTTAGACGCCAATAGAATCACTGAATAGTTTGAAAATTAGTCAGGTGATTTGAACAAACCCTTGAAGTTACAATAACAGACAGTGTGGATATTGTATGATTGAAACAAGTCTAAGTCATTCATTTGACATGTTTTTAACGTTTCCAGAGTTCACTGTGGTAACTTTTGTGAAATCCTAGCGCTCTAACCTGACCTACGCGGGTAATTTAGGAAATCACCATTTTATTCTTTATATGGAGAAAAGTTTCGTTCCTTTGGCTGTCTAATATATTCATTTTGAGGGCATTTACAGAATAATGAATGACTAAGAAAAGACAATTTTGCCTGTGTCTCCCTTTAAACATGAAATGGTATAAAATTTTGAATTTTGAAACATTCGCAGATGTGGTGCAATTTCATCCAAACTTTACAGGAATGATTAGTACCAAGTCTAGTTATGCATATTGTCAGCATTTTCCGATTCAATGATTTTTGACAGAGTTATGGCCCTTAAATAATTTTTATTTTTAAAGTTTGTCCGGACTACTTCTCTTATACCACTAATGCAATTTCAATAAAACTTTACAGGATTGATCTGTAGCTCAAATCCTTGCGCATATTGCACGGATTTTCCGGTTGAATGATTTTTGGCCGAGTTATGGCCCTTTGATTAAAAGGTGTTTTTTTCCTGTGTGTTGCCAGATACTCAAAACCTGTCCGGACTACTCCTCAAAAACTACTGCTGCAATTTCATCCAAACTTTACAGGAATGATCAGTACCAGGTTCAGTTGTGCTTATTGTCAGTATTTTCCGGTTCAATGATTTTTGTCAGAGTTATGGCCCTTTAATAATTTTTATTTTTAAAGTTTGTCCGGACTGCTTCTCTTATACCACTAATGCAATTTCAATGAAACATTACGGGATTGATCTGTTGCTCAAGTTCTTGAGCGTATTGAACGGGTTTTCCGGTTGAATGATTTTTGGCCGAGTTATGGCCCTTTGATAAAAAGGTTGGTTTTTTTCTGGGTGTTGCCAGATACACAAAAGCTTGTCCGGACTACTCCTCATAAACTACTGGTGCAATTTTATCCAAACTTTACAGGAATGGTCAGTACCAAGTCTAGTTGTGCACTGTCCGTCTGTCCGTCCGTCCGTCTGTCCGTCCGTCCGTCTGTCACAAAACTTGTCCCAACATAAAATTGGCCATCATGAGGCGACACATGTGATTACTGATCGCTTTTTTTAGACATAGATTTACATGTAAACTAAAAACATATAATTGTATGTCAGAAATCCGGCCTTACTGTGTTAACTAACGCTGACGTGGATGAAAATGATATAGTACGGACCACTGACGGCTGCAAGGCAAATACCAGGAAACGAAGAGATAGTGATTGTAAGTGAATGCTCAGTTTTACATTGAACTAAATATACAAAGATTGTCTTAATTTTTGATAACAACAGTGTTTTATAACATCATAAATGTAAGTAGTAAGACACAATGTTTGTGGACCTCAGGACCCGAGTTCTGTTTCCGATTTAATATTCAAACAAATTTTTATTTTATACTGTGTTTTGATTTTTGTGTACAGGTAAAAAAATATAGTTCTGTTTCAGATTGTGTATTGATTGTTGTGTACAGGAAACAATATATAGCTGAGGCTCAGATTGTTTATTGATTTTTGTGTACAGGAAACAATATAGTTCTGTTTCAGATTTTATATTATTTTTTGTGTACAGGAAAAATAAAGTTCTGTTTAAGATTGTGTATTGATTTTCGTGTATAGAAACAGTATAGTTCTGTTTCAGAACGTGTATTGATTTTTGTGTACAGGAAACAATATAGCTGAGGCTCAGATTATTTATTGATTTTGGGTATTGTTCTGTTATAGATTTTATCTTATTTTTGTGAACATGAAACAATATAGTTCTGTTTAAGAGTGTGTATTAATTTGTGTGTACACCAAACAAAATATTTCAGTGACCGATTACGTATAGTTTCTGTTTCAGAACGTGTATTGAGTTTTGCCTAAAGGAACTAATATAGTTCCTTCTCAAATTTGTGTGTACAGGGAGAAATATAGTTCTGTTACATATTGTGTGTTAAGTATTAATCGTTGAGCAAATTTTTTGTCAGCTTGTTTTCATGGTGCTGCTGACACGTGTTGTGAGAAAGGATACCAGTTTGCAGAAACACTATTCTATGAGGCAGATGACACAGAGCCCATGAATCCATACACAAATTGCTACCCTAGAGCACTAAAATTAACGAAGGAAAAAGTGCTTTCCATCAAATGCGTCATGGCGTTCTTTAAATCTTGTATAGATGAGCTGGAATATCTTATAACCGGTAAGTAGCGACCCTACTGTAGATTATAGTGCTATTTTCTCTATATCAATGAAAACTATGAATACACTAATTAATTTTGTAATTAATTGATTAATTAATTAATTCATTCATTCATTCATTCATTCATTCAATCATTCATTCATTCATTCATTCATTCATTTATTCATTCATTCATTCATTCATTGTTATTTAGAGTTATAAAACACACCGACATTCTTTTTAATCACATTGCGACGTTTTAGTTATACTAGTGAAGAAGACTGTTCATTATTTATGATACACATATCTTGCATTATTTTTATACATACACAGACCGTGCATTATTTTTATACACAGATCGTGCATTAATCTATACACAGACCATCCATTATTTTTGATACACATCCGTGTATTATCTATGACATACAAACAGTGCATTGTTTCTGATGCATGTTGGCAGCTGCGTAAGGCTACACCCATTCAATAAACTACCTTAACAACTTCTTCACATAAAAGAATTCAAAGTTAATGTCAGATATGAACTTGCAGCGGTGATATGCTGGTTATTAGACGTCAGCTGTCGTAAAACATTAACCACAGTGGCATTGAGTCAATTTTGGTGCAAACATATACATGTGTAAATATTAATGTGTCATATGTTAAATTTGGATAAATGTACCACGTTGTTACATCAAAACCGTTATTCCAACCAAACAATTTATTTAAGTAAGTACCAGAATTTCATATATTATGTATAACAATATGTAACTGATGCTTGTTTTATAATAGTTGTTCAAATATGTAATCAGTATTTCAAATTTTACATGTGTGTATGCCCAGATTGAAATCAAGCAATATATGGACTGTATTTTGTGAAGTTTCTGTTTATAGTGCATATAATTTATATAGGTTAATTGACTGATGACATCACAAGCACCTGCTACCAGAATTTAGCAGATTTACCAAAAATGGCAGCATCAGTGTTTTTGGCCACACCACCCCGCACCGTCCCTGGACCCCTGCTTCAAACGCTCTTAGGGTTACTGTATTATACCAGATACAAAACTAACGATAAAAAATCCACTATCAAAACTATAGTAATAGAAAGGTGAAAAGTCTACAATAAGGGATATTGTCGTTTTGGCGACTCAGGCGCATTTAGGACCAAATCGCTGCATCATTCATTAACATCAATAAAAAAAGATCTCGAATTCCACAGTTTACGTTATTCAAGTCTAATGAATATCAATATTCTATCGATTTTTTTTTATTTCACGTTATTTTTTACTACTTGCAGCCATCTTGGAGTCTGATACATGCGTTGTTACTAGCGATCTGATTGGACAGGCATCAAAAATTGAATCCGCTTGTCCAATGAGATTGCAAGTTACAACGCATGTATCAGTCTCCAAGATGGTTGAGACAATAAAAAAAATACCATGAAATAAAGAAAATACTTGAATAAGTTAAACTGTGGCATTCTAGACCTTTTTATTGATGTTAATGAATGATGCAGCGATAATACGCCGAAATTGGCCTGAGTCGCCGAAACGACGATATCCCGTGTTCCTCGTCGTTTGGCAAATGAGCTTATAGTAGACTTTTCGCCTTTCTATAGTTTCGATAGTGGATTTTATTGTATTTAGTACCTTATAGTAAGCCTAAGAGGGTTAGATTTTTTTTCAGGGTTATAGCAGGGGTCCAGGGTCGGAGTTGGATGGCCAAACACTGATACTGCCACCGATGGATTTATCCGTCGTCAAAAAGAGCCATTATTTATATGCATTATTTAGCAGCAGAATTTTTAAATTCTATTTTGTATTTGGGGATTAATTTTTAGATCCCTATATCCTTTGAAAGTTTTTTGTATTCAACTTTGAAATATGAGCGTATTTTTAACTCGACGTTTTAACTGTTATTTCAATAGTTTTCCAGCACCATATTTAACTGTTGACCAAGAAAAAACGTGTGGCAAATATATGTTTAATTTGTGAAATATGAGTTTAAAGATCTTTGTAATGATATAATGAGTTTGTTATTATACATATGAAATGACTATTTTTGCATTTTATCAGTCATCATATTTTGCCAACCGTCCGCAAATTACCTGTATGTTTTATCAGGAATGTTTTACTACTAATAGATTCCATAATAAGAAAATGAACATTGCATTTACACGTCATGATTATCCAATGAAAAGCGTTAAACGTTAAAACGTGGACTGTTATAAAGGGAAACATAACCTTTCAAATGCTTTAAAACTAATAACAAATAAGGCTGCTAAATGATTTTATGATTACATTTTATTGAAGATATTTAACAAAATAGGAAATTGCGAGGTTGTTATGAATTTAATTAAATACTTTAGAGAGAGCATATTTCAGTTTATACTTGGTCATATAACATGGATTAATATTTACAACATTACAATGGTGTTGATTCTTTAAGACTTATTTCTTAATGTTGACCGATGTTTAAATTTAGATTTAGCATAATTGTAAGTATAGAAGAGCTATTTCTTATTTTCGCTGTTCAAGTCATATATTTGCCGATGATATTGTACTCAAAGCAGGAAGTAAATATGATTTTCAAAGTATAATTAATGTTATTCATAACTGGTGTGTTACAGATTATATGAATGTAAATCCACTAAAATCCAACATTCTTCACTTTTGTAATCCATCTTTTACTTGTTCAGATTATGTGTTTAAAATAGATTTTTTGGCGGGAAAGCATTGCAGTAAGACTATCTAAATACTGTATAATAGTTAATCATTAAAATTACATGAGGCTCATATTACTAGAATAAACTGAATTGAGTTACGTTGTTAGAATTGAAAATAGATAATACTAAAAATGTTGTTTCTCTTTACAGATAAAACATCAATAACTTCAAAATCATTAGATGATGCAAGTGACTATTTTGATGAAGACAAGGCTATATTGGTTAATAATGATATCGACACTCAAGCTAGATCAGATTTTCGCGAATCTTGGCTTTTCAATGTCTATAGCCTGGACGGGTGAGTCATCTATGGCTTCCAATTTAATTTTTAAAGTGCCCTTCAGCTTTATTTTTGGTAGATAAACAATCCTGTGTTGTTTCGTCGGGAAAACATTTACAAAGTATCTTGAAAATGTGCATGATATACATGTAAGACTTCTTCAAAACAGAGTCCCGAGAGCTATTTTTAGCGCGACAATGACGTTCGTTTCTAAGAATAGAAAATTTTGAATCGAGTCGTCTGGTTTTCTAATTTAGATATAGAGAACGGATTGGTACCTAAGAGGTATCAAGGAGTTTCCTTATTGTTTAATAAGTATTTTATCATAGGCAAATTTCAAATTTCACCTTTATCTTTTTTGATTTGACAATTATATAAAACACTGCATCTTAAAATAACATACTTTACCTATCGGAAAACTGAAGCCATGTGATTAACCTTTACCTCATGTTTAGAGTCAAGTAAGCCAGCCTTACGAAAAGGCAAGCTTGACAAATCCATATCTCAAATAAACAGGTCAAGGGAAATAATGCCAGCGAAACCTATGGCATTAGCTTTTCAGAACATCTTTTTTAATTTTCATTTCATTTGGCCCTTGAAAAAAATGTTGGTTAACTGGGCCTTTTTGAGTCTAATGCCTGGAAGCAACCAACACCGGTGTCATATAAGGAGCCATGGTTGTTAACCGCTTGGGCTTCGAATCAGTAATGACTGGGTTGCGCCACACATAGTTATCATAAGGCTATGCACTGGACGCATTTATCGGCATCATTATTTTCAATTTTGTGTTATATTACCGTATGTTAATATGTTTCTCTTATCTTCATTGACCCAAATTAGTTGTGTTTAGACCCCCGTGATGTTGATACGTTGGTATGTAAGACACCCATATAATCGTTGATTTCTTTATATTAAGCTGTGTAAGACGGTGTATATTTAAACATTTTTCACTCGTCTTGTAATGAGAACAGCTTTTGTGAATTTTAGGCAAGGTAAGAAACGGATACAGATCGATAGTCCACACTCTATAACAGAATGGAGTATACAGGCTATTGGTAAGTTGGTAATGGTCATTTTTAAAACAACGAAATGATAATTATGCGTGATGTTAAGTAAGCATGTGCTCGACATCATTTTTGGCCGGGTTGCACTGGTGCAAATCCGGGCTATAGTATGGTGAATGTTAGGCGGCGGGCGGGCGGGGAAAAAACTTTCGTAACAGTTTTCTCAGCAACTACTTATCACAGCCTTTTGATATTTGGTATACAGCATCAACACATGGTCCCATACTGTGGGTATCGATTTCAGGTCTGCCGCTCATCCACTTCCTGTTTGCCGACATAGTTAAATTTTCAACATTAATGGTCAATAGCAAGAAATTTTCGTAACAGTTTTCTCAGCAACTACTTATCACAGCCTTTTGATATTTGGTATTCAGAACAGCACATGGTATCATATCGTGGGATTCGATTTCAGGTCTGTCGCTCATCCACTTCCTGTTTGCCGACTTAGTTAAATTTTTTACATTGATGGTCAAAGTAGAAAATTTTCGTAGCAGTTTTCTTGGCAACAACTTATCACAGCCTTTTGATCTTTGGTATACAGCATCAACACATGGTCCCATACTGTGAGATTCGATTTCAGGTCTGTCACTCATTCACTTCCTGTTTGCCGACTTAGTTTTATTTTCAGCACTAAATTTTGACATAATTAATGATCAATAGATAGTAGGAAATTTTCGTAACAGTTTTCTCAGCAACTACTTACCACAGTCTCTTGGTATGTGGTTCACAGCATTGACATGACTGTGGTCCCATATTGTGGGATTCCATTTCAGGTCTGATGCTCATTCTTTTCCAGTTTACCATCTAAGTTAAATTTTCAACATCAATGGTCAGATAGTGGTAGAAAATTTAAGTAACATCACAGCCTCATGCTATTTGTATACATATGCAACCCGGCCTTTTCTGTCTTTGACCCATTTTCATTCTTATCCATGGTCATGTGTGACTAAATAAGGTAGAAGATTGTTAATTTTTATATTATTTTATAGTTTTCTCTCCTTCCGTTTCAAAAACACATTATCCGGAGTTTTCTGTGTTTAAAAAAATATTTATCAAGTTTATCAAGATGATATTTTGCAACGTATGGTCATAAATTGTCTTTAATTATATACGAATATTTTTTTCACTTAAAATACACACGTTTTTATGCGCAAATACGTTTCAACGGATAGATGATTTTAGTGATAAATACGGTTCCATTTATGAAAGTGACGACCTATTTTCTGTCGTTGGTTTCCATTACGTAGCATTTTGAGACGGGAACCAAAACTATTTAAGACGAATATAAACGGCAGTAAACATTGCAAAATTTACGTATTGATCCTTCATTTTTTTAAATAAATGACTTGACAGCTATATTTTAGTCCCTGAAATAAATAAAAGACGTTCAGTATATTAAAGTCTTTTTTTAAATATAATAAAAGGATAATTATGATAATGAAACTTTCTGAGGCCATGCATTTTGCTACTCGCAGCATGGGGGAATGCTATCTCTATCGCTAGATTTCAATTTTCCTTCGCTGCTCGTAGCAAAATACAAAAGCAGAAAGCAGACACCTCGGAAAGCTTCTACAACATAAGTTTCCTTATGTACTGTATTTCATCGATTTCGAGTCTAATAACTTGTGTGCACATTTTTAGATCATTCCCTCACCCTGTTTTTTCCAGAATAATCATTCTTATTGTGAAAATAACCCAAGAATGAGAAGTATTGCAACTCTTTTTGGGGGACAAAATTACATAAAATACGATTTTCAATTTTCATTTCTTAGCATATTTCTTATTCATCTTCTGCATTTTTTTTGTTTTGAGTACCCGTGCTCATTGTTAGAAAAATATGTTTCTAGGCTTTTGGATTTCAGTTGAGTCTTGTAAATGTAAATTTTATATAGACACATGATTTATTTCATTTCGATTTCCGTAGACATCTATAAGTTTATTGACATACTCTCGAATCTGTTACCGGAACAAACCAGTACTGAGCAATGAGTGTATTGTTTCTTGCTCGCGGAAACAACGACTTGTCTCTTGTTTGAACCCACACGGCAAGCGATCCTTAGATAACTAGTCAGGCGCGTTAAGTAAACGCCACCACGCAATTTTCACCCTCAGTTAATCAATGCTAGGTTAAAATATTGCAGGTATTACGAACGATGAAGGAATGTGTATTGCTGACCCAGTCGATCTAAAGGCGTTCAGAGATTTTTTCATTCAACTAGATCTTCCGTACAAAGCGTCACGTTTGGAACATTTTAATGTGAAAGCAACGATATTTAATTACGGCATGAAAGGGGATAAAAAGAAAGTGGTAGGTATGAATTTTAAAAACCAATATTTAACAATTCATTTAAAAATTTCAGTTGATACGAGTTTGAGTGAATTGGTTGACTATTTTCATAAAGTCGTTGAGTGACATGTTGCATACATGTTGTAAATGTACCACTTAATAACGCATTACTTATGGGCTTGTAAACGTATTTATTACGTGCTAATTAACGCATTAATAGTGTGCTAATTTACTTTTATAATGTGCTAGTAAACGTATTACTTATATGCTAGTTAACGCACTAAAAATGTGCACATACATTACTTTTGAAGCTTATATTTTGTGAGTACAGTTGCATTATTTAACTTAATCCTGCTTGAACCGGCAGTGAGTGATGTTAACATGATCAGTCTGCAATTATATCTTTACTGACCATGCAAATAACTGTTTGAAGTTCATTTTTTTTTGCTTTTGAAATCTTATTACAATTGAATGATCCCGAATTTGAAGCTGCAAAAATCTATTACACACTTCCACGGGTACAGGTTAAATAAATTATCTGGTCTATCACTGGTTTAAAATCCGAAAAGATTGTTTCCCGTTAAAATCCCGAGTTGCACATTATAATATTTGCATAAAGAAATAGATAAATTGCATATGATTATTAAAAGTAGTGTATCATTTTAGGCCAATGTTTACCTGCAAGGAGTTCAAAATTTGTGTTATAACAGCGACGCAGGGAAACCATCACCTCGATTCAAAGTTGAGCTTCCGCCAAATAGCGCACAAACAGTTACCTTTCCCATGATACCTTTAAAGAACGGCCTGTTTCCGGTAAAAGTATCTGCTTTTGTTACGCAGAGAGGAATACCTGAAAGTGACGTCATTGAAAAGAAGCTATACGTTGTGGTAAGTATTGCTTACAAACATTGAAAAACAAGCAATTATCATAGTATTGCAAGCAATCCATAAGTCCCCTACCGGTAAGAGCCCAAGCAACATTCTGAATGGCCATTTGCCATTCACTTATATTCCTATTTTAAGTAAATTTGTTGAAAAAGTTCTTTAAAAGTGATCACAGGAAACAGTTTTTATGTACAGACAGACGGACTGAAGGACACTCTAAAGTTATTTTTTAAACATCCCTGTTATCAAAATATATCATTTTTAAAATCCTATCATGATTGAAGAAGTTGGAGTAAAAATTACCAATTTCTCAAAAAAAAATCTAAGTTCAAAAGGGGCATAATTCTGGAAATAGTCTTGCTAGAGTATTGGACCATCACAAATGTTGAGTGATAATAAGAAACATTTATATGAAGTTTGAAGTAGATACATTCAGAAAAAGAAGTTTTTTAAAAAAAAAAATGTTTTTTCATGAAAATTTTAAGTTCAAGGGAGGTAATTCTGATAAATTTTGTGCTAGAGTTGTAAACCTTGTCACATATAATGTGGTTGATTACAAGCAACTTATGTTTAAAGTTTGAAGAAAATACCTTAAGAAATAAAGAACTTATAGTGAAAAAACTTAAAAACTAGAATCAGAAATCTTGAAATTCAGTCTATTTGTTGCCATAGCAACCAGAATTTTCAACATAGGAAGATAAGAAAAGGATGTGCATAATTTCCATACTGCCATATACTCATATGTCAACTTTCATAAACATATTTTCAGTACTTTTTGTGTTATCACTGGATCCAGGTTATGTGTAAAATTTGCCATATTTTCAATCTATTTGTTGCCATAGCAACCAGAATTTTCAACATAGGAAGAAAAGAAAAAGACGTGCATAATCTCCATACTGCCATCTATCCATATATCAAGTTTCATAAAAATATTTTCAGTACTTTTTGCGTTATTGCGGGATCCAGGTTATGTGTAAAATTTGCCATATTTTCAGTCTATTTGTTGCCATAGCAACCAGAATTTTCAACATAGGAAGAAAAGAAAAAGACGTGCATAATCTCCATACTGCCATCTATCCATATATCAAGTTTCATTAAAATATTTTCAATAGTTTTTGTGTTATCGCGGGATCCAGTTTTGTGGACGGACGGACTGACGGACGGACAGACGGACTGACGGTCGGACAGACGGACAGACGGACGGAGGGTAAACCTAAAGTCCCCTCCGGTAAACCGGTAGGGGACTAAAAACGTTACATACATATGTATTTACAGATTTTGCAATTCTGGAATACTGAACGTGGGGAAGTCAAAAGCTTTGGCTTACCCGGCTTTAGACTGTACGTTTTAAAGGAATTCGAATAAAAAATACTTAATCATATAGATTTGTATACCTATCGGTGAAATTTGCAAATGTCGTTTATCGTTCATGGTCGTCGCAATTTAATCGAATCTTTATGATAAACGTGATAATAGGCAAGATTTTCCGACAATGGAACAATCGCAACTTTTCGGATGAGAAACAATCGCCGAGGTGTTCCGATTGAGAAAAGAGACGGTTCTTGAAAATACTTAGTGACACATGTAACACGAAAGTGTTGAATAAAAATGTATAAATTTTTCTGACTTCCCTGTTTATTGACTTCGCCTAGTTTCACATGAAATCAATAATTAAATATGTATTTGTAAATAATAGATAATAAAGTAATAATAAGGTAAAATCAAAAACCCCTCATTCGATATAAAATGAATTTTAAAACAAAATAGTATTTTTCAAAACTAAGATTTTTCATCGAAGTTTTTTTGACTGTAGTATTAGTATATAATTTAAGTGTTAACAAATTTGTAAGCTTTATGGATACTAGTTTGATATCAATTTTGACACTGTTTATATGTTTTCATGACATTATCATACGAGGACGATATGGTCTGTATTTTCAACAAAAAGACCAAAGAGCTCATAAATAAAAGAAAAGTAAAATTTAAATTGTACGGAAGCCCACAAGGAAAAGTTTATACAAGCAAAAATTATTTCATTTGTAAACTGTCAAGATATCCATGCTATCAATGAGCAAATAATTACTGGTATATAAAAATGCTTACAAAAACAATAAAGTTTCCTTTTAAACGGAAAGGCTTGCTCAGTTGTGCTATTATCCCATCCCTTTTAAATTGTTATTTTTTGTTTCATTTTATTAGATCTCTATCACATTTTTTTTAATTACGGTATTTGTGTATCATAAAGGGTTTATTTATTTTTTTCTTTGTTTTTCTTTGTTTTTCTTTGTTTTTCTTTTTTTTTCACTTTTAAAAGGATAGATAGGGTAAGCCCAAGTCTGGACGAGCACCTGTGCCCATTTGTGTGAGCACCAGTGTTTAATGCATGCAAATTTGGACAAAAGTAGGATCAGACGTCCTCTGATTATAACTGAACAGGAACGTGCTGGCGATAACAGTAACAACTTTTTTGTAAACGAATATTTTTTTTGTCAAAAACGATAAAAAATCTATTCTCTATTGTATAAAACTAATAAAGAAAATAATCAATCGTACAAATACTAACATTGGCTCTCCCACGTGGAGATCTAGACTATCTATCATACTGAAAGGAAACAAGTGTGCACATTTCATATCCACTTTTTTTCGCAGAGAGAGTCAGTCATTCGTTTTGGCAGTTGCTAATTTCATTTATATAGCAGCTTTGTAGACAAGTAAATGCACTAAAAGACTTCGTTACTTGGTACCAATTAATAAGCATGTATCAACTATGTTACGCCTAAAATATCTATGATCGACAACACAAGATGCGCTATCTGTAGATCAGCACGTGGTAATGCTAATGATATGCATCAGCTTTTTTTTAGATTACCTCACCATACGTTAGAATTGCCTCAGTAGATCACTGTGTGATTCAGGTAAGCAGGACCGCCCTTAGGAGAGGGAATACTACTACAGTAACCATTCTCTATTGTATAAGACTAAAAAAAGCAAAAACCAATTATAAAAGAAACTAACTTTTGCGTCTTGAAAAAGAATTGAAACGGAACAATTTCGTTTATAATTTATTTCTTCCTTCTACTTACGCTTTAAACCAATAAATCAAGAAAAATAGAAATCCTATTTATATAAACAAACTGGGATTACCAAAGTAACTAAAATAGCTTGGATTTCCGTAATATTACTTCGTCTGATTCCGCAGTATGACGGAATCAATTGTCACGATTGCAATCGGAACTATCTCGGCTATTATCATTAATCCGAATAGTGACGGAAAAGGCCGAAAAGTTGCGATTGGAACGATTGTAGCGGAAACATAGAATGGTTTCCCATTTAATCATGCACTAACAAACGTAAGCAGGAAACAACCTAACCGGAACAACTTTCCAAAACAAATGGCTTGCAGCCGTGGCTGCAAGCTAAAAAACAAATCTTTATACTGTTTTCTGTATTTCAGAATGAGGGTATTGAAGAAAAAATAATAATTGTTGTGTGTTTAGATCCAAGGAATCAGACAGACGATTGTAAAAATGATGAGGAACGTGTAGTTAAAGACAGTAAGTTAGTGGTAACATTGCTTATTAAATGTCAACAATTTTCATCTTGTCTTTTTGCCCTCTTATTTCATTCATTTAGTTATTTTTCTTATGTTTCTTCTCTTGTTTCTAGATATTGGGAGCTTGGATTCATGAGTTTTGATTACAATTTGAGACCAATGAAATGATTTTCTTTTCTGAGACAGATATACACTTAAACATGTTTTTCTTTGCTTTTGGGAGATCTTTCTTATACCAGAATCACCTTTATCTAGTGTGTGACACATCTTAACGATTTTTCTTTCATGACGACAAAGAAACATACAAATTTCGTAAAGTGATACCAAACTTACTTGTTTGCATATCAAATTAAGATAAATAAGTTGTATATTTCAAAAGCTTGACTATTTTAATGGTGATTGAACAATTATTGAAAATTACAAAATGTTTAGGATAAAATATTTAAAAAAGCTACCCAAACCATAAAAAATGCCAGTCTCTTTTTTATATATGAACATGACAGATAATTTCCGAAGGATATTTGTAATTTTATAGAAATTTATGTTGGTGAGTGTTATTGATTACTCAGGTGACTTTTATTATAAAATTGGAAAAAAAGACTCAAAAAACGACAGCATGTAAAGTTGTTATTATCTTATCGAAACATTCACCATTTACTCTTTATCTTGAATAGATATAATGTCATTTTAAAGGAGCATTTTGCCTCAGAAATCCATATTGTTTTTAACCTATAGAAATGTCATATATGTGTAAAAAATGTTTTAATAATGGATTTACAGCATATTAGATGTTTCACAACTGACAAATATTTCACAACTGACGGAAGTGCAATTATGAGTCATAAAGTAGTATTTTGACTTCGATACATAAAACTAATCGCTATAATTTAATACATTGCCAAAAGAGCAAGGGAAGCAAAATAAAGGTCATCTATATGGCAAATGAGACTATTTTAAAACTTTATAAAGATACAAAAGAAATGATAACCTTTTATGAAATAAAAATGATAGCATTTCTGAGGCATAATGGGCATTTAAGTAAATAAATTGAAGTATTTTCCTTTAATGACATTTATTATCCCTTAGTTGTAGGAATTTCTCTGTATGTATGGAATGCTTCATCATCGACTCATTTGTCTTTCTTATTACTTCAGTTAAACGAGACAGGGACAAACGAGAATACGAAATAGATCTAACTCTCCCAGAACATAGTATTTCTCAGACGGGGTCGGCCACTGCATATATCCAAAGTAAGCGCATAAAAGTCAATTCATTTTAAAACGAATCGTCATAATATTTTTGCCAACTAATCCATTTGCATTAAATATAAAAAAAGTTAGTCCACTAAATGTGCATCGTGGTTTTAACTATAGTAATGGAGGTCCATACAGCGTGTATTTGCGCGCAGGCCGGACTGGCTTTATACTGGTATAAAGTACAGGCATGATCGTCACTGCATATGATGTTGACCAAAAAATAAACAAATACAAATTCTATACTTATTGTATCCGATGATTGATAGTTTAATGTCTTATCTGTAAATCAACAGGTAGTGTGATGGCTAATATTGTCAATACGATCATAGAGGGTGTTGATTCCTTGTTTTCACAACCTGCCGGATGCGGTGAGCAGACGATGATCAGACTAGCACCAACTGTATACGCAATGACCTACCTAAAACAAACAAAACAACAGACCGCTGACATAGAAACAAAAGGAAATCAATGGATTAGAGATGGTATCTATTTACAGTTTTAAGTGTGTACCTGTATTTTATAAATTTCTGTTTGGATAAATATGATTTCAAATATGGTCTTATGATTTCAAATATCAAATGGTCTTATGAGAGCATAACATGTCATTTACAATCTGATGGTTTTTCAGAAGAAAGTTATACTTCATCATTACTTGAAACTTCATGTTTTATTTTCTTCAATGTTTTTCCTTAAATTCCCAAGCAAAGTACACATTTGTAATGTTGGAAGTGTTTTTTTTACAGGTGTAAACAGAGAGGTTTCCCAATTCAAGCAAGCCGACGGATCATATGCTGCCTGGCGATACCGAACCCCTAGCACTTGGTAAGACTGTAGATTATAAAATATTGTAATTACTATAGTTTCTTACTTCCAGGAACTTCGAGTAACATTTTTAAATACAAAAAACTATTGTGTAAAGTTTAATTTTTTTCAATTTTAAAACTCACATCATAACGTAAACAAACAAAAAAACGGAATCATGTGACTTATTTTGAGTTTGTCATAAAAAATGATATTATATTAAAGAAAGTCCATTACTTAATTTATTTAACTCGTTCAAAACATTCAGTATTGAACTCACACTCATCCAATATCCTCTTTATTATACTATGTGATAGGCTCACAGCATTTGTTGCCAAGGTGTTCTGTCAAGCCAAGAAGGTTGTAGATGATGCTGTTGATCAAGAGAAAGATGTAAAACTTACAATTGATTGGCTGAATAATCATGCTGAAGCTGATGGATCATTTATTGATAAAATGCCAGTTATGGACCGAAAAATGATAGTAAGATCAAATATTTACATTCAATAGATATTAGCTAAAGATAAAATTCTGTACCAATTTTAATTTTTAATCTGATAACGAGGCTGTCTGATCAAAATTTGATTATTTATTTCAATTAAGTTTCATACTTAAATTAATAAGATTAAGTAACAACGATAACAATTTGCACACAATCGGCATGTTAAACAAGTTATATATAAATTAGATTTATATCGGAATATTGAAATATTGTAAATATAAATAAATCATGACCAAAATTGGTAGTTGACTTTTTGAAGTGCATCACTTCTAATGTGTAGATGAAAATGAAAGCTATGTTAATTGCTTATTAAATAAAAATAAAAGCTTTGTTTATTACTTCTGAGAAAAAAAAATGAAATCTACGTTTTCATATGTAGTATTAAATTGAAAGCTATGTTTATTGTTTATCAAATGAAAATGAAAGCTATGTTTAAAGTTGCTGAGACGAAAAGGAAAGCTTTGTTAATTTCATAGTTTATAATATTAACATGACATTGTGTTTATTGTTTATGAAATGAAAGCTTTGTGTATCGTTTCGGAGATGAAAATGAAATTTATGTTTATAGTATTAAAATGAAAGCTATGTTTATAATTCATGAAACGAAAATCAAAGCTATATGTTTAAAATTCATCAATTGAAAATGCAAGTTATGTGTATTGTTATTGCGATGGTGATGAAAGCTTTCTTTATGTTTTTTTTAAATAAAACTAAAAGCTATGTTTATAGTTTATAAAATGAACAATTAATAAGATGAAAATGAAAGCCATATAAATATGTTTATTATTTTTGAGAAGGAAAATGATAGCCAGTTTATCTGTTTATTTATCCTAAACAGGGACAAATTAATGAAAGAGATCATACCTTAACAGCCTTTGTACTGATTACCTTACAAGAATGTGGTAATAGATATGCTGTAAGTGTTGAGTTTGTTACAATAATTTTCATATTTTATAAGATGCTGTTTAAGTAGACTTGTTTTACTTCATTATTTGAAAGTAGTTTTGAAATAAATTACTCTAAGAAATATAAGAATAGATAAAATAATGATTCATAAAGATAAACTATGCTCAAATATTATATCAAAAATATTGATAATTGATACTTTTAATTCACATAGAGTAGATATGTTACGTTTTATATACTACACACTATAGCTGGTCACAATATAAATATATTGTGTCATTAAAAATTGGCAGTTTTTTTTAAGAAAGTACCAATTACATTCAAATCATAGCTGTCAATGTCAACTATTTAACCTTGCTTAAATTACTTTTTATTTATTAATTCATTCTTGGATAAAAGAACACCTATGACCTAGGACACGTGCTGTCAATTAATATTTGGCTCTCATTGTCAAATATCAAATATAGGTTATATTTTGTACAAGGAAACAATACTTTCTATGATGAGTCTTTACAAAAATATTCTCTCTCCTACTGTAGTTTACTTTGAAAATGAAAATTCGAACGGAGCACCCGCTGGAAGTTGCCTTTAGTTTAGTTTTGTTTTCACGGTTCTCGATGGTACTCTGTTATACATTATTTTCACATCTGACTGACCTTGCAGTGTTTACCTAACTGCTTCTGACCTGCCGGTAAGAATTCGAGAATAAAACAACTGTACGGAAGCGTAAAAAAGGGCCTCCAAAAAGAGATATCATGATGTGTAACATATGATAAACAAGATCAACTTCAATGAACGCAACCCCGATTAATCGACCGATTTTAATGCGATTTAATTAGACGTTTCAACACAAGTCGACTTATTATTATTCACAAATTAAAAAAGGGTTTATTTTTCCGAACATTTTTCTATGCATTTTGAGTAAAGTGATTAAGAATGACAAAGAAATTGTAAAGTCTTTGTAAAAAAATGAATTTATTTGATTAAATTGAACAAAATTCAGTCGTCTCCCACACCATGACACCATAATCGCTCTAAATGGAGGCCCTTTAACGTTTCTGTTAAACTGAAAACCAATCAAAGAAATATTTTTTGGACATCGTTTTCTTTTTTTCTAGGATGTTAGTGTAACCGTCAACAGGGCAATTGAGATCCTTGAAAATCTTTCAGAAGACATGTTAAAGAACAATCCTTACCTGTTGGCAATTAGTACATATGCTTTAGCCATGTCCGACAGCAATATGACAGATACGTTTTTGAAGTACTTACATGACATTAAGGGAAATGATACGGGTAAGTTATTCCAATCGCCTTTTCTTATTCCGTTTTTTTTAAATTTATTTTGACAATGCATTAATCAATACTCGTTGATATATTTCACTCTTTGTGGGTTAGTTTTCTTTTAATTTGGATTCCAGACCTAAAGCCTTGAACTACTGATCTCACCTAAAACATTGACGGATTTAAAACTTTATATCAAGTGTGATTAAGCAAAATACATATTCATTAATTTATTATCAATGTTCTAATGCCATATCTTCATCTTGTTTTAGAAATAAGCATTTATCTTCATTCTGTCATTACTAGTAATTTGTATAGTAATTGGACTCGGTGGTGTGACAACTGTGTAAAAACTGGTATTTTTGTAGAGGGTACATTCTGGGGAAATCCGGGAGGTAAACCAGCAAACGCTTATGCTATAGAAACAACAGCGTACGCCCTTCTTGCTTTGTTGCAATTCGGGGACATAAAAACAAGTTCGTCCATTGTAAGTTGGCTTACGTCTCAAAGAGATGCTACAGGACCATTTAGAACAACACAGGTAACTTTGATAGACATATTCATTTTCTAAAATCACATCGTTAAAATTATGATGTTTATTATTCGGCTGTTTATCTTACTATTTTGATTAATTTGTTTTTTCTTTTATTTATATTACACATTTCTTATTTTTTTACTTTAATCATCATCATTATCATCATTATCATTATTATCATTATTATTATTACAATGTATTATCATTATTATTATTATAATTATTATTTTATTAACATTATTGATATTTTTAATATTATTATTAATAATAATAATATCATTATTATGTTTATTATTATTATTATTATTATATTATTATTATTATTATTATTATTATTATTATTATTATCATTATAATTACGACATATATCATCAACATCATCATTGTCATAATCATTTTTACTTCTATTATTATCAATATCATCGTCATCATTACTATTATCATCACTACTACTATAATTATCATCATCATGGAAATTACTTTTCAATTCCTCCTCTTGCTTATTATCTATATTAGGTAAGAATTAGAAATGATCTCCGTCTGTGCATCCGTGCGTTAGTGCGTCCGTTCCAATTTTTAACGTGCGTCCGTACCAATTGTGTCCGGAGCATAACTCCAAAAGTACTCGAGCGATTTTGTTCATACAATGACAGAGCACATGGAAGAAATAAGTGCAGTGTTCAAAAACAATTACAGTTGACTCTCGGTAACTCGGAATCCAAAGGACTGGGCATTTTACTTCGAGAGAAACGGAATTCAAGTAACGTGGATCTGCCGTCATTGCATTGACATTAGTACATGTGCCTGATTGAATGTGCAAAGAAGTAGATTTGTTATTGTTATAAGCGGCAATGCTGCAACATGTAACCGTTGAATTGACGGTAACTCATATTTACAACTACAAATTATAAAAGAAAAAAAAAATATTCAAAATTTAATACATGTATATTAATAGTGAAACATAAACATAAACATTCGTAGCAATGATAAAAATGCAAGTTTGTCAGTATTCATCAGTAAAGCACATGTTTTTAATAAGCACTCATGACAAATCATTATAATAAAAGCACTATTACACATTTATTTCTTGAATTGAACATCGGACGAAAACGAAAGTAGCAACTATCGTGTACCGGAAATACATATTAATGTATGCAATATGACGGAACATTAATTATACAAATGTCATTTTAAGTTGATAATAGGCTGTTATTCGACTAACACCTGTTAGACTGGCACGAGTCAAATTTCTTTAAGAAATGTAGTTAAATCTTAATTAAGTTATCTAACTGTTAAAACCAATTAAATCCAGAAACCGATTAAAGCCACTTTTACGACGTGTTAATAATACATGATGACCGGCAATTAAAATTACCATGGAACGTGTGAATCACGAGTGACAACATCTCACCTTGATGCCGCCGACCTTTGATCAGTCGGCTGTTTTCACACTTCGACTGATTGAGGTGAAAAAATGTGGGACTTTAATTGACGGGACCAAATTTTCTTTTCGACTACACAGGAGTCTCGGTAAGTCAAAATTTGACCTTAGCGGAGTTAAATAAAATATAAAGATAAAGTAGGAAATTTGACGGGACTTGAGAAATTCTTCGAGTAACGCGGAATTGTGAGTAGAGCGATTTTGACTTATTGAGGGTCAACTGTAGTCTCCTTTACCTACTATTAAAGTAATTCCCCTTTTTCAGATTTACTTTTCCAAACCAAAAGTAGTTGAGGAATTCTCAAAATTTTATGCAATGGCATAGCACATAAGTAGGAAGTGCAGGGTGCAATAACAATAACTCTTCCTTTCCTACTTTAAGAGTTGTTTCCTGTTACTAGGTTTACTTGTAAAATTTTGTTCGGAGCACAACTCCAAAAGAAAATGTTTTTATAACTTTTATACACTGACAGAGTACATAGGAAGAAAGTGAAGTGTTTAAGTTCAATTACACTGCCTTGCTTAGTTTTAGATTGTTTTCCCTTTATTGGATTTTCTCGAAAACTGTCGGACGCATAACTAATACAGTGCATGAGGGACGTTCTGCAAACTTAAGACACTGACAAAGCACAATTAAGAAGTGCAGTGTGCAAGAACAATAACTCAATTATACCTTCTTTTAGAGTTATTCCTCTTTTTCAAAATTTATTTTAGAGCAGTACTCAAAAAGTACTTGAATGATTTTATTCAAACTTACCCATTACTATGTAAGCAATTTGTAAAAATGACTGTTGTCATTCGAAATCCTCCTGCTACAAGTTCAAATTGCTATGAAAATACATGATGACCGGGATTTAAAATTACCATGAAACATGTGAATCACGAGTGACAACATCTCATCATGATGTCGCCGACCTTTGATCAGTCGGCTGTTTTTACACTTCGACTAATTGAGATAAAAAAAATATGGGACTTTAATTTTCTTTTCGACTACACAGGAGTCTCGGTAAGTCAAATTTGACCTAAGCGGAGTTAAAATACAAAGATAAAGCAGGAAATTTGACGGGAATTTAGAAATTACTCTGTAAGCAATTTGTAAAAATGACTGTTGTCATTCGAAATCCTCCTGCTACAAGTTCAAATTGTTATGAAATGATAAAAGATGCTTCAATAATCATCAATTTTGGCACAAATATTAACTGAATCGTTGCCTTTGTAACGGCATGCCCAATCTTAAATTTTATTATATCATTAAATTTCATGTTACCACGGCAATTAAGGGGCATCTTAAAATTGCCAAAAATCACTATTTTGCTTTGATTTATCCATCACACTGATTTCAAAGTGCTGCAACTTCTCAATGAATTAAAATAGTGTCAAATATTTATCAGCATTTGTTACACATTACCCTCTGCTCGACCTGAGGCCAATTATAGCCTCTCAAGTCTTAAATCTTCTTGGCGATGAAGGGGGTTCTGTCCCTCTTCAAAACCCTAAGCAGAAGGGGAACACCCCCTTCTGGCACCCCCTGATGTATCTTTTTGATAGGGCACGGCGCCGAAAGAGTGATCACTTTTTTAACATCAGATCTTAAGCAATTTGTAACCATTTGATGCCTCAAAAGGGGACGTATATGCATGACAAAACGTCTTTATGAAGTAATGGGTTAAAACACTGACATAAATGAAACGAGATGAATAAATCACATATTAATAGTTATACTAAAACTACTCTTTTTGTCTTACTTTGAAACTGTACTTAGCATTAGTAGCATGACCTTAATTATACGGCATTTCAGAGTTTCCTCTGACCAAGTAATAACATTTATGTAACTTCTTCAAGGCGAGTGGATTAACCTTGTGTAATACCTTGTTATTACTATAATTGTTGTTAAGCCTTGTTTTATAACGTCAAACCATTAAATCCTATACAGAATATTTGCAAAAGAATTGGAAATTTAGTGTTGAATGTTTTTGTCAATTGTCTAGGATACAGTGGTCGGCCTGCAAGCTTTGTCTCAGTACAGCATCGTTACCTATTCTCCAGATGTTAATCTAAAGGTTTTCTTTTCGGCAGACGGCACGATGTTTTCATCAGTAAGAGTAACTAAAGAAAACGCTATTTTACTAAAAAATATATCAAAGGTAAGACATATTTTCAAAATTTTGACAGTGGCCTAGTTGATAATGGCATTTAATCCCATTCAACTACCTCTAGTCGTTGTGGACAGGAACCAATGTGATTGATTCTTTAATATGAAATTAGTAGTTAGCTCTTTTGAAGATCTGTAGTCCTATTCATGCTTATGGCATGCATGTCCGAAGTATTGTCAATGAACGGATACTTAAAATCTGAAGAGTTACAATTTGATTTAAGCAGTGTTGATGTGTGCGTGTGTGAGTGCATGCCTTGTGTGTCAAAACGAAATCAGAACAAATCAAAGTTTGAAAACAAAAATATTCTTTTGAAAAAAATGGAAGGCATACGAAAGTGAAATTGAATATGTGTTATAGTCTCTTTATAAATATAAGATAAACATGTTAAGAAGTCACACAAAGTCGATATGTTATGTTTTAAACTCTATAACTATACGTGGTCGCAATTTGAAAATATTATGTTATTATAAAAACTGGCAGTTTTTGAAGAAAAGACCTGCGATTAAAATATTTTCAGTTGAAAATTACATAGATTTCAAAACATTTCTGTGCATAAAAAATATTTAACTAAAGATGAGTTTAGTATATCTTTTAACCGGATGGCATACTAAATAAAACATTATTTCCTTTCTTTAAAAGTTACCTGTTGAGACAAAAGATAACAAACTTACGGTAAAAGTTCAGGGAACTGGAAGTGCAGTTATGTCAATTGATCTCCGTTATAACAGGCCAGCCACTGCGGAAGAATCTTGTCCCTTTAAAATCACTGATATTGATGTTCAAGAGATGGAAGATCTACCGATTGATACCAATTTGGCAAAAGAAAGGTAAAAACATAAACGTTTTTCGACTTCCGTTTATTAGATAAACTTGTTCCGAAATATAACTGTGTATATTTGTATATAAAGTAAAAACATATCAAGGCTATCAGTTAAGAAGAACTTTTAATGAAAATGCGTGACACATAACTTAAACGGTATTCTGTTGTTTCAACTTTCCTGTTTTAAATGTGTGACATACTCAATCAGATAAGAGTGACATGCACTTATCATGGAGATATTTTAAATATTTGTTTTCTAATAAATTGAATTAATGTTATTAGCCGAAAATAATCGAGTTTGAATCACTGTATGTAACGTTTTAAACTATTTTTGTAGTCAACGTTCAAGTGAGAAAACGTTGAAAACGATTTGTTTGAATGTTTCTGTATTTTCAAAACCTATCTTGGTTATTTCTTCAAATAATTCTATAGGGATGAAAGAATAACATACAGCTTATGAATAGGTTTGTATTCTTTATTTCCTCTAGTACAATTCATGAATGGAATGAAATCAATCTGAAAGATTTCAATCTTGTTTTATTGGACAGCTCTCCTGTGTATTCTATTGTTTCTGTTTCAAATGTGTGACAAACTCACTCCGATAAGATTCGTCTCACGCACTCCTGAATAAATTGACTTCAATTTATTTTTGAAAAAGAGTAAGCTATCTCTTTTTGACTGCACTAATATTCAAAGATAAATGAATGAAAGGGCAGTGCATGAAGGTACCTAAACTCGAGTAAAATTGAGCAAGGAACTTAAGTTTGTGATTAACAGAAATCATTTTTCAACATACCCACCATCAAAACCTTTCAATATTGCACGATATAGCACTAACGTATTTTTATGGTTTATAGAAACTGTGACGTGTGTGGCCACTGTGCGGGCGTTTACGATTATGATGACTACGACAGCGATAATTTTAGAGATCGGCCAGAAATAGAACCTAAGATAAACAGTAACTTTGGAAGAAAGAAAAGAAACACAGACATCCGTATCGATGCGACAGCTCAGAAAAAATGCATTCGTTTCAGCGTAAGGTAAGCATTTTCTGTATAAGCTTTTGGCTAAGTAAGCATCACAAAAATATGTATTTTTTAAGGAAGCACATTAAATTGAAAGCTGACAAGATGAAACATGTGTCTGTCGCTAACACTATCAGATTCTCCGTCATCCAGAGGTCGCTACCAAGATCGTCGGGCAAGACGAAATTGTCAGAATAAATTTTCTTTCGAGCATTGAGTCTAATAGTTATTTGTCTATCACCACTGATTCAGAAATCATGATGAATAAGTAATTGGCTACTTGCTAGTAGTTGGTGATTTCTTCTTAATTATACAGGAAAGTGGGTAAGGTGGACTGTTTGCTCACATAAACCAAAAAAAAAACTGTGTTAAAGATCGACGTTTTAACAAGATACAAGTTGTCAATATGCACCAGTCGTACATTCTAAATTCGGTATCAAAAACGATGAATGATTGCATTTGTAAAATGGTAACGTTCATTTTATAGTATTTTATTTTCATTGAAGGTCATATATTAATATATGAATTGTATTGTAAAGTTATACAGAAAGTGTTAAGATCATATCGAGACTATGCTGAGCAAAGTTGTCCGTTAACACTCCGTACATTATGAATTCCTAATTTGAATATCAGTTTTTGTATAAATTGTCGTTTTAAGTAATATGTGTATTATTGCAGTTTGCTGTACAGTCAATTTACAATGGGTCGTTATATTTCTATTGAGAGTTCGATTCCATTTATAGATAAGCTGAAGTGATTTTTTTTCATAACCTTGCGCCACTGTGAAATCATCAGAATATAAATTCACAGATACATGTATACCGTGTTTGAGACATTTTCTTGAAAGTTTGTTAAGATATTTAACTTATTCTGTCAATAACAGATTGTAAATTGAGTCGTCATTGGTGGCAGAAGTATGAAGAAGATGTTTTATTTGTATTTTTGTAGCTCTAAGAATGATAAAACATATGGTATGTCTATTGTGAAGTTTGGACTAGAAACAGGTGTTGAAGTGATCAAGTCTGATATAGAAAAGGTAAATATTTTGTTATTCAAATTTTTCTTGATGACTAAATAATTCTCACACTGGTTCTAGGTGTCAGTAGTGTGATTTTACACTTTCCATTTAATGTCATGATCCATGTCAGTCAAACTTAGTCAACGATTTTTAGGGTAACTATAAAGTGAAACTATCTTAATTTTGTTGGACAATACATGCATTTTTGTCATGTTCGCAATGAACATGTCAAAAGCAATGTGAAATAACTCAAGTAAGGTCTTTTCATGACTATTAATAAGTAGATGATTATCTTCTATGAGTAAAGTGTTAAATAATTAAAGTTCAGTGGAGGCTTGGTAGATTGGTTAACGAGTTAATGAATTACTGTTGGCTGCGTGGATTTGGACCCAGTCAGGAGCAAGACCTTTTTGTTTTACTTGAGTTAAAAACTTAACATTCATTGCTTAATGCTAATTGGCTCAAAAGTTTTCAATAAGCTAAAAGCTTCCAACACAATTGAACTAAAATAAATTTGTATGAACAAACAATTATTCTGCTGTTTGTGATAAGTGTTCACTTTGCCATGATGCTTTTGGTTTAAATTAGAATTTCAAAAAGTTCAAAAAATACTGTCTCTTCACATGCCTTCATGTTATATTAAGAAAACTAATAAACGGTTGTAAGACATTTGTTAAAAGGTTAAAACAAGATTAGTTTGTACATGGCAGATAACTATATAAATGATTTGTTTAACAGTTCTGAAAGTATGGTTCGTAAGAAAACAATTAAAATGTATTTGATACTTCAAATTAATAAAAAATCATTCTTTATTGCAGCTCGTTAAAGAGAACAACACAAACATTGCACACTACGAAATGCCATCTGACGGGAAAGGTTTTATTGTGTTCTACTTACACGAGGTTTGTTCTTATTTCCCTTGCTGCTGAAGTTCAACAATGCACAATCTGCTAAAGTTGGGCTATTGTGATCACACACAGTCTGTTCATATATCCATCTGTCCGTCAACATTTTCTTCAAACATCATACCGTTAACTGTTTTGCAGGAGGGTACTTTAAAATATATTTATCCCGGCCTGTTAAATATATTTAAATAAATATATTTATTGCAGGAAAATAGCTGCAGTGGCATTTTCAAAACAAAATTAAAGTATTATATGGAGGATAAAATATTGAATGAGTGCAGGTTCAGCGCTGAATTTATTGAACGAGTTGAATTAAATAATATGCGAGAGCCTTTTGCGAGCATTAAATTATTCTTTTCAACGAGTGAAATAAATTTTATAATTTCCGACGATATTTCCACTTATTTAAGATACACTCCTTTTATTGGCATTCAGATATTGTCGAGGTACAACGAAAATTGTATTTCTTTAACTTTTACTATGAAATTATCAAAATGTCATTTCCCTTTTTACTAGAAAACATGTGATTAAGTTGATAGTTTGTTATTATATTTATAATGCTATAAAGATAGCAAAATCAAGTGACTTGCAAAGTCAACGATTACGACCAGCCTGATATCAAGGGCAGTTGACCCAGAACCCCAGCTGTGAGAAATTTCAATGAATTTTTAAACGTAAATGTAATGTATTAATAAGGAAAAAAGGGATTGGGTGTAAAAGGTGGAGGAAAATACTCGTACACGATTGAAATATATCTGACGATAAACCCTTTACCACTACACAATTTATTTATAGCATCAATTCATTAATTAGAAACCAATCTTTAATAGGAAGTCATTTGATTATTAAGGATTCTTTATTCAACAGTATCTGAAACCTTCGATCAGATTTGAAAATGGCGGAAGAATACCAGAAGTTATGTCGGTCTTTAAACCGTCCCATATCTACGGTTTCCTCCACCTTTTACTTTCAATCCCTCTTTTCCTTATTAATACATTACATTCACGTTCACGTATTTTACAAGATTTAGGATGAAAAGACGAGTACTCAAGATATTAATGAATATCATTCTTTTGTTTATGGAGTTAAGAAGATCTATATAAACCTGTTTGAAAACCCTTAATATTATTCACAATTTTTCACTGCCGAAAGTCAATTAACAAGAGCCCCGTTTTAGCCGGGTGATGCTCCCCGAATAGGTTTTGGACACAGGAAAGTACATCTCTCATAGTTTCAAAGTTATGTCCCTGGAAAAAGTTCAAAGTGCAATAATTCCAAAATTAGTCAAGGCAGAGTTACTGTTCTTTGCACTGTAATTCAAATTAATGCGATCTATCAACCTACAAAGTTTCCTGATGATATCTCTTATGATTTTCCAGTTATGTCCCGGATAACTTCAAAAAGTAAAAATAAACAAAGGACAATAATTCCAAACTTAGGCAAGGCAGAGTTACTGTTCTTTGCACTGTACTTCTAATCAATGTGATCTATCAACATACAAAGTTTCCTGATGATATCTCTTATAATTTCCCGGTTATGTCCCGGACAACTTCAAAAAGTAAAAATAAACAAAGGGCAATAACTCCAAAATAAGGCAAGGCAGAGTTATGGTTCTTTTGCACTGCACCTCTACTCAATGAGATTTATTTACCAACAATGTTTCATCTTGATATCTCTCATAGTTTTAGAGTTATATTCCGTACAAAGTTCAAAGTGTTAAAATTAACAAAAGGCAATAACTCCAAAATTAGGACAAAAAGAGTTATTGTTCTTATGCACTGCACATCTACCCATTGAGATCTATTCACCTTCAATGTGTCATGTTGATGCCTCTTATAGTTTAAGAGTTATGCCCCGGACAAGATTTTTCTATAAGGGGAGATAATTCAAAAAGCGGGCAAAATAGAGATATGGTTCTTTGACACTGCACTCCCCCTTAATCCCCTCTACCACTGTATGAAGTTTCAACAAATTATCTCCAAGGATTTTTAAGTTATGCTCAGGACAAGACAACGGACGGAACGACAGACGGACGGACAGACGGACAAGGCGCAGACTATATGCTCCCCCGAAATTTTTCGGGGTGCATAAAAATCATCCTATATAATAAAGAAATCATCTATTCAAAATTTCCTTAAATATATTTTTTCTCAAAATTCATATTAAAAAATATTGATAATTACTATATGACCTCTTTATAAATAAAAAAAAAATATTTTGACGGCACACAAAGTAGATAATTATGTTATTTTTGCAATCCTACACACTGTACGTGGTCACAATATGAATATATAGTGTCATTAAGAAACTGGCAGTTTTTTATAAAGAAAAGACCAACTTTACTTGACCTGTCATAGAGAACACAGCTTCCAATACATAATTTATTCATTCTTTTATTCAAGTTAGTCATATTCAGTAAGAATTTGATTTCAATAAATTTCTTTTATTAACATATTTTACTCAAGAGTGAGCATATCTTTATTATTTGACATAACATTTAATACAAGTGTACATCAAGTAATCCTTATGTTTTCATTTATACTTTACCAGATTTCTTCTAAAGAGACAAAATTCATATTCCGGTTGAAGGACACTTTGATGGAGAAATAAGTTCAAGACAACCGTCTTCAGTTTATGTATACGACTACTACAACCCAGGTTTGTTTATTTTAGTTGTTTAATATAGGTCGATTTTAACACATTTTATTCATATCTTTGCTGTTGCTCAAGATTACCGACTTTCCTTGAATTAAAAAAATACCATTATTCTCTAGCTTTTCCACAAAAGGACTGACAAAAAAACCACTTGATGTCTGAATCAACGGTAAAAGGCATATGACTATAAACCATGTATTGACAAGAATAACTAAATTCAAACTAAAGGACATTACGCCAGAGAAATCGATATTTTGTAATCCTTTACAAATGACAAACATGTGTTTAATGATGTTTAAAAATGGATTCATGGCAATGTTAAATGTTGTACAGCTGGACATGCAATTATGTTTCATAAAGATAGCAAAAAGTAAACAAAAATAGTATTGTGGCAGAATACTTATTTACTATAATTATACTTATTGTCAACAGAGATAAAGATAGTTCATGTTTAAAGCAAATGAGCATTAATACACTTGTTACTATATATAGTAACAAAATTGCCTATGATTTCAACTGATTATGAGTGTCACATGACCTATTATGAGTTTGCGGCCCGGGGCCGAGAACTAGTTATCAGCCCGCAGAACATGTGCACGTGCACAAACTGAAACAATGACGTCATATTTTACGTCATCAAACAGATAACTGTGTAAGTGAAAGTAGGTTGTCAGCACGAGTCGTTTTATTTTTATTGTGAGAGCTTAAGCGTATTTAGTACAAACACATATTTGTTACTATTGAAATTTGAAGAAATAATACGACAAATTCATTCCGAAAAAAAAATGAAAATAAAACTTGCTTCTAGATTCTACTGCTTTGAACACACAAAAAGTAAACATCTGTACAGAACAGTAGAAGAGTACAGTAGACAAGAATTTCAACGAAAGAACTTCAAAGTAGATCTAGATCCTATTTGTTTTTGTTTTTTTTGTTTTTTTTTAATGCTACCAGATCTATTAGATTTACCAAGTGTATTAAAGACATTAATACACGTCAGAGTAGGGCCAGAAGGTGATAATCGGCCCTGAATGAATAATGACCCTCGGGCTAAAGCCCTCGGGTCCATTATTCATTTTGCGGGCCGATTATCACCTTCCGGCCCTCTCCTGCCGTGTATTAATCTCTTATTATTTTCTCTTGCGTAGCATTCATTTTTTGTGATACTAGCCGTCCGTGATGTGACATTGTGTCCCTCTCTCTCTCTCTCTCTCTCTCTCTCCTCTCTCTCTCTCTCTCTCTCTCCCCCCTTCTCTCTCTCCCCCCCCCCCCTCTCTCTCTCTCTCTCTCTCCCTCTCTCTCTCTCTCTCTCTCTCTCTCTCCTCTCTCCCTCCCCCCTCTCCTCTCTCTCTCTCTCTCTCTCTCTCTCTCTCTCTCTCTCCTCTCTCTCTCTCTCCTCTCTCTCTCTCTCTCTCTCTCCCCCCCCTCTCTCTCTCTCTCCCCCTCTCTCTCTCTCCGTCTCTCTCTCTCTCTCTCTCTCTCTCCCACAGTCATTGAAAACCAATTGAATTAATATCAAATTCAGGATATAATTTTGCCTTGCACACATGCATTTGTTTTCACATTTGATTATCCCTGTGAAGCAACTGAAAATTTAAGGACATTACGCATGAGTCAGTCAGTTTGCATAAAATTGGTAACACTGGTGGGGTGTCCATTATCATGAAATATGATTTTACCGGAAGTGATAAAGATTTCGCTTCTCTTTCTATAGTTTCATATTTTGTAGCAAAGATTAACAGTTTGAATAAAAACCAAGTGTATGTTGTTCTGTTAATTTTGAATGAGTTCATCTTATTTATATAAGAGCATTTAGGATTTTTTTTCATTAAACAATAGCGAAAGTCACGAAGATTCCTATTTAGGAGAATGGGTGTCTGTTCATAAAGCTAAATACATTTTAACCTCCTAATTGAAGAACTTGCAAACTTTTTATTCATTACTCTCCTCACCAGTAAAATACCTGTCCAATCTGTTCCAAACCATAATAAAGATATTTTAAACCTACTTCTTTCTTTGCTCTTCTTTATTTGCTAATTTATACAGACATCTTGACGTTAAACATATACAATTTGTTTAAATCTTTTCTACAGATAAGCATTGTACTCAGATATATGGAACTGGTCAAAATAGGGGCAACAGTGTCTTGTACAAATGCGGGAAAAATACGAAGGAGTGCAGGTGCTTCCAAAGTAAGTTTTGTTATCATTTCTGTTTATTTCTTTGTTTATTTTTAGAAGATGTGGCGTTGTTGGTAATTCATTCAAAATGTCAAATCAAAAATAAATAAACACAAGGAAATGTCACAATATCTGCCCGTATATTTTGTCATAAAGTATGATATTTTTTATTTTATACCATTGAACAAGTTTGTCACAAAGGTTTTGTCAGAATCTGACATAGTTTAAGCTTATGTCCTTTTGGTAGCTTAATAATGTAATTAATGTCTTTCAATGGTGTTATTTTAGATAAATACCATGTGTGTTGTTTAAGTTTAACATTAATGGTTTACGTAGGTATGTGTGTTCAGCCGGTGGAAAAAGAAATTGAAAGTTTAGCCAAGAGAAGAAGAAAACCTGCACTTAAATTGTACCGATACACATGTAACTCGGACAAAGCAAACTATGGTAAGTTTTAAATCTTTTTTTAATTTGTTTCAATGACTGCTATAAAAGAATTGTATTTATTCGGATTCTTTGAACATAGAAAAATGTCGATAATGGCATGATTGCATAACAATTTATTTGATAAATTTAATCTAATGAAATAATAAAAATTATTTTTTCTATTGTAAAAGAAACTGTTAATCCGGCAATGCATTTTTCTTCAATTAACAATTTAACACTGTCTTGTATATAGCCTTTTTATTGCGATTTATTTCTTAAGCAAGATTCAAATTTCTTTATCATCACATTATTTGGGACAAGCTTAAAGCTTATTTTATTTTATTACGCTGGCTTATCACTGAATCGTAGAAGCACTGTTACTTAAAAAGATTCAAGTACATTTAATATTTTGATTGTTTGCTTGTTTTTGTTGTTGTTTTTGTTTTACAAAAATGGTAAAAAGGACACCCTTTCTGTAGTGTTATTTATAGATGATGGGTAAGGGAATAGGGAAAGAGTTAGCATTCCCTTTTCAAAATAGCCTTGGTAAAAGGAAAAGGCTTATAATGCAAAACAGTTTACGATACATGAGTATTTTGTGTTCATGTTTGTTCTAATCACATACTTAATATGAATTACACGAAAGTATTGTTTATCAATCGCATATTATCGGCCCTTTACGTCATTCTTCGGATAATGAATAGTAGCAATGGCGTATCGATTGAATGATTATCGGACGGTGAATGTGGTAAACATTTCCGCCATTATCTTAATCCCTACAGTTTATTTCGAAATGAAAACTTTTTATTATATACTAATAAATAAAATATTGAGAAATATTGATGTAATAAAATGCGTATTTTCTTTTTAAAAAAAATATTTTTCACTGCAGTGAAACATATTTTCTGTATTTTCAAGGGTGTCTTGCCGGAACTCTTTCTTCTAAATTATACCAGTACAAAACATTTAAGATAAATTCTTTCAAATCGTAATGTCAAAAAGAAAAATGTATAATGTAAACAGAAAAATCAATGTTTTTGTGTAAAAAACATGATATATTTTCATTTTGTGGAATAAAAAATATCATATTTTACTCATGGCTACGGCTACTTACGAAATATTCATTTTCATACCACTCAATGAAAAAAAATAAGTATTTATAGAAAAAAAAACGTAAATACATGTATCCAGTTAGGAACGCCATGACTGTCTTATGTGACTTATGTTTTTGCTATCTTGACAAACAATGATGTTATTTTGTCGTTTGAGCAAATTTACGTGCAATTCACATCATTTCCTGTCATAGGATCATGCTAACTTGTTCAGACAACATGTTAACTTGTCTAATTATCATGATGACATGTGCAGATAACATATTAACTTGTCAAAGTAGCGTGGTGAATTGTGCAAACAACATGTTAACTTGTCAAGTATAATGACAACATGTGTAAGCGACATGTGAACTTAAGACCGGTTATCTTGTCGAATTATCGTGATGACATGTGCGAACAGCATGCTTGTCAGAGTATCATGATGACTTGTGCACACGACATTATTTCTACATAATCACCATTTCTATCAGAAATCTTGTTCTATATTCCAAAAGATAATTTCATCAACTGAAACCCTCAGGTTACTTTAATAAATAACTAAACAAATAAAATAATAATTAAATAATCGGACATTTTTTATTTTAAAAAGTCCGTAGCGACTATTAAGTTTTAGAAAAGTTTTGAATTTTTAAACATTCTGTCAGATTTGTAAAACAAAACATCCCATTATATTATCTTCCCATTAAGCTGTTATGGGGTATTTTTTCAGTTACGCTGTATTAAGGGATTTTGTCCCATTCTAATTTACAATGATTTAGGGAGATTTCTCCCATTTTCTTAGTGGGTAAGTTCCGCAAATGGAAGGATTGCATATTTATTAAAATATGTTCCCTCAATACTTACAAGCTCGTAAAAAGTATAGAATAATCAATACATGTAAAAATACCTCGGAAAATATTTTTGTTTTCTCCCATTGATTTTTAATCCCAATATATGAAAATTGGGTTTTAATCTAACTGGAGCTCCATAGGGATACGAACAATACAATGGGAGAATAAAAAAAGCCCATGGGATAAACACGCTTATTTTTTGTGCTATCGTTGTACAAACGGTCAATAATCGTCTATTTCCATCCTTTACTGTCTGATTTATTGTATTGTTTTGAATTTTTATAATAGAGGGTAGTTGAGTTTGTAAGAATTCCGGATTTGCAAACTTATTCCAGAGGCTGTTATATATTATCATGATGACATGTGCAAACAACATGTTAACTTATCAAAGATTAACAATGACTTGTGCAAGCGACATTTTAACTTGTAAAAATATAATAATGACTTGCGCAAACGACATTCTAACTTGTCAAAGTATCGTGATGACATGTGCAAAAGACATGTTAACTTATCAAAGTATAATAATGACTTGTGCAAGTGACATATTTTGTGCATGTAATCATGACATTAAGACAAGATTTAAAATGCGTTTTTAAACCGTCATCACGAACTTGACAAGTAAAAATGTTGTTTTCAAATTCATCACGATTTTTACAAGTTAAAAATGTCGTTTGCGCAAATCAT